TACTGATAAACATTCTGGTAGAGACTGCATTACTGATAAACTTTCTGGTAGAGACTGCATTACTGATAAACTTTCTGGTAGAGTCCTGAATATTGATAAACTCTCTGGTAGAGACTGCATTACTGATAAACTTTCTGGTAGAATCTGCATTACTGATAAACTTTCTGGTAGAGTCCTGAATATTGATAAACTTTCTGGTTGAGACTGCATTACTGATAAACTTTCTGGTAGAGACTGCATTACTGATTAACTCTTTGGTAGAGTAGGCAATACTGATAAACTTTTTAGAAGAGTACAGAATACTGATATATGTTCTGGTAGAGACTGCATTACTGATAAACTTTCTAGAACAGTACAGAATATTGATAAACTTTCTGGTAGAGTCCTGAATATTGATAAACTTTCTGGTTGAGACTGCATTACTGATAAACTTTCTGGTAGAGTCTGCATTACTGATAAACTTTCTGGTAGAGTCCTGAATATTGATAAACTCTCTGGTAGAGACTGCATTACTGATAAACTTTCTGGTAGAATCTGCATTACTGATAAACTTTCTGGTAGAGTCCTGAATATTGATAAACTTTCTGGTTGAGACTGCATTACTGATAAACTTTCTGGTAGAGACTGCATTACTGATTAACTTTCTGGTATATTGATAAACTTTTTTGAAGAGTACAGAATACTGATATATGTTCTGGTAGAGACTGCATTACTGATAAACTTTCTAGAACAGTACAGAATATTGATAAACTTTCTGGTAGAGTACTGAATACTGATAAATTTCAAGTAGAGCACTGAATACTGGTATGTTCTTTTCGGGTATGGAATACAAATTAACTTTCTAGTGCAGTATGAAATACTGACAAACATTCTTGTAGAGTCTGGAACACTCATAAAATATGGAATTCTGATAAACATTCTAGAAGAGTACTGAATGCTGATAAACTTTCTTGGGAAGCCTTGAATTCTGATAAATTTTCCACTAGAAAACAGACCTTTTCAGGCTGGTCAATTCGGAGTAATCATAATCCCATATTTACATCAAGGAGCTTAACTTTATTTATCAGTCATGGTATAGTAACGTTTTTAACCTCGCACTTCTGTTTCACTTGTACTGACAAACTTTGAAATGTCAACTCGTTCATTCTAATGTTCTGCTTCACATGTACAAAAATCTGTTCATTCTTGACAAGATTTTCTTGTCTGCATATTTCGTGCCATAGGTAAAAAAAAATGTTTCGTTACCAATGGCGTCAGTTTAACATTATTAACTACAATGACCTCCAAATTATCTATAAACAGATATTACCAAAGTTTTTCACTGATTTGCACATATGCATATATACATGTATTTCCACAAGTTAAAACATCATACTGTTCATACATATAAATATATATATATGTTGATATCACCAAGCCTTGCTTTACCAACATTCTTAATCCATCTTATGTTCAAAATGGATAAAATGTCTCAAAGGAACTAAAGTGAACAATAATCTATTACACTGCTTCAAATTTCCACAGATGTTTGTAACTCAACACTGTCTAGGTGAGACCTGTAAGTTGAGGAAATGTAGGACAGTGAGGCATGTTCTATTGAGAAGTTCTGCCAATGTTGGTGAGACTGTGAGAAATTCATGTAAAAGTACTCACCATTATCTCCAGCAGGATCAGCTGGCATCTCTGATTCTGTAAAATTATATAAACACAATGCAAAACTTACTGGCATCTCCAATTCTGTAAATGACATGTATTTTGCGATTGTCCAAGAGGTGCTTGTAACTCATGTGCACCATCTTTTGTTGAGATATACTCATAACTGGCTATTTATTCTGCTTTGTACTTCCTTTCCTTATATGAGAACAAAATCAACATACAACCCAATTGCTCATTTATTATTTATATCTGTATATAGGTCACTGTGACATAGTTATGGTGATAACCACTTGCATATACAAGGACAACTTTTACAGTTTTTCAATTCTATAGGGAAGTACTGAGACTGAACAAAACTCAACTTCAGATTTTTAAAAATGTGTTGTTTATTAATCCTGGTACAGGGTAGGTAATGCTTGGAAATAATTTTCCTCCTTGTAATGCATGGCTTAGTACAAACACCGACGCCAAAGTTTCGTAAAACTTCATAAAAAAGGAAAGGATCAATGACTGGCCTACAAGTAATTTCCTCTACTGTAAATATTAGTTACCTTCACCTAAATTTACTTCACAACTTCACCCAAACTGTAACAGTGTATGAATTCTAAACCATTTACTTTCAATTAAAATGAATTTAACAGATTTGCTTTCAAAGTAAACATGACATACCTGGAACAACTTTGATGTTAAAGAGTTTTTCAAGCACCACCTTTGCAGCCTCAATCTTTGCCAGTCTCTTGCTCTTGGCTGTGCCCTCAAATCTCTCTCCGTTGACCTCTACCGCCATTGTATACATCTTATCCTGTTCCTTTGTGCCCTCTTCAGATTCCCGCACTAACTCATACTGTATGGTACAATAAGGTTGAACAAACAATCAGAAATATCATACAGGTAGACATTTACTGTTCTGGATTTTAAATCACAGGTCATAACTGCATTTGTTCTGTAATAATTAACCTTTCATCATCCACTCTTTTATTTGAACTTAAGGAACATATTAAGTGTGTCACAACTATCTATCTTGAAAATTGAAGAAGATAGTAACTCTACATAGAATTACTTATCATTAAACCAGAAAGCTTTAGTCTGAACACCTTAACTTCTGAACTCTGATAGTTTTTCTATTTGATTAATTAAGGTGTTGCTTTTTTTTATCTCTGCAGTCTTGCAAACGGGTTAAAGCCAAATATCATGACTACAGGCCCATTGTAATCAAGACTTTCCCCTTGCTGCTGGCAAATTACCATTATTTCAAGTCTCTAACTATAAGAAGTTTATAGAAAAAGCAAGTGGACAGACAAATGATATCTCAAGTAGTTTATGCTGGGTGAGATAAAAGGTACAATCAAGTTGTTTCATGTTTACTTAAAAACTAAAAGTTTGGCCGGCATCAATATGACAAATCTTACCATTCCAGAACAGGTGCTAAAACCTTGTCTACATTTCTAGTCACATAAACAATGACCAATCAGAGTCTGTGACTAATGAGGTGTTACTTACTTGCACTTTCATATCTTTTTTACATTCGTTCAGGAGCATGACTGCATTTTTACAGGAGTATGTTGGACCTGATGGTTCCTGACCCTCACTAGTCAGTGTCTCCATGGGAGTTGTACTCTTCCTCTTTCTCCTCTTTTTACCAGTTCCCTCTGTCACACCTTCCTTGTTGACTGGTGTCTCATTCAAAACTGACAAGAAACATGTTTAAAATTTTCTTACACAAGTAAATATCCAGTACATGAAAACAACTTGTCACAAGTAATCACAATTTAACAATTCTATAATTTAAACAAGGAGCCAACAAAGCATGGTGTTATCCCCTGTGATAAAAGGCAGAATATGACATTCACAATTGACGCATTTTTTTTCTGGACGTCTACACCAGGAAGTTAATTTTCTGATGTACCAAATTGATTTATGTCCACCAGAAGTTGTTTGAAGACAAGAAATTTGTAATTTGACTTCTTTTTCCCATAAGAACAGTGATCTTTCTTAACTTTAATATTTTTATAATTTGAAATATCTAAACTACTATCATAAATTATCGTGACTGATGATACAAGAAGCTTTTTGGCAACACCTTGGAAAACTCCAACATAAGTTCTATCGTGACAATTTCCAAGTGGCAAAGGGTTTAAAACCCATTTTAACAATTCAATTGGGATGTGCAAGGCAATTTCCTGTGTGTTTTTCTGGTGATAGTTGTCAAAATGAAGTGATATTAAGCATTGCCCACATGAAAATAAGTGACATTATCAGCTGTTAAGATTACATGGAATATATAGGGGGACAATTGGTGTTGCAAGCAAAAGTGGTAGTAACAGGAAAGTGTCACTAACAGATGTGACATTATGTGGGTTCCACTGTATACATATATATATCTTATATATAAACTTTATAGTAAGAGTCTATGCCTTGATGTAGATCCTGTGTGTTTGACTGTTTATATTCAAATAGAGCTTGGTATTGTCCATGAACAAATCTATACAACATACTATAAGCTCTAGAGTAATAAAAGAGGTGACAAGATATTGAAAAATTTAATAGTATCAGAAAAAAGATCAATAAGAAAATGTTCTCAGTAAGAAAAGTTACAGCTAGGGCAATAACCTTGTATGTACAGAAAGTTTTGTGAAAGGAGTGGAATGGTTTCAAAGTTGTAGCCCAGAAAGGAAAGTTTACACTATTTTTTTTTTACTGTTTCTTTGGTAATAGAAAATATCAAAAAAATGAAAAGTCGTCAAAAGCAAAAGGCACAACTTAATATATCAAAAAAGTTTTGTGGAACTGAGTATAATGGTTTTGAAATTGTAGTCTGGAAAGGAAAGTAAACACTGATTTTGTGGGGTTTTTTTGGCTATGTTTTCATGTTAACACAAACAATATGAAAAAATGTAATGTCATTCATAGCAAAAGGCACAACTAGAGCACTAATTTCAAATATACAGCAAGTATTTTTAAGTTGAGTTTGAATGGTTTTAATGTTATAGCCTGGAAAAACTCACAGACATGCGCGCGGATGGACGGATCCCAAATTAATATCCATGCGTTCCATTGGGGATAATAATTGTAAATGTACTGGATCAGTATCCATAGTATATGGAAGTAAAGGCTTCTCTACCACCAATAACAGTGGTACAGTATCCACTGATGATATTATTGTAAATATACGTAAGGGTCAATATACCTCTATGGTCATCAGAGTGAAAACATTGTTAATACAATGTATAAGTCAAACAGATTTTTTAAAGTTCTTAGGGACAGTTCTTTAGAAATCTTATATTTTCTGTCAGAGCCACACAGGGACACAAGTGCTTGGTTTCAACTTAATACTGACCTGGTACATAAAGAATGTTGAACATCTTAAGGAGGGCATATTTGGCAGCCTCCATTTTTGCCAGCTTTTTGTTAGGACCAGTACCCTCAAACTTCTCCCCGCTCACTTCAACGCTCATCGTGTAGAACTTGTTGCTGCCCTCAACAGACTCACTGACAAACTCATACACTAGGCCCTTCTGTAGCTCATTCAGGTTCTGTACTGGGTTCTTGCTTGACATGGTGGGTTTCTCACCGCTTTGATCCATCTCATTTTGCTCCTCCTTTTTAATAACTTGTCCTTGTTCTTGTTTGCTGTCATCCTCCAACAGGGCAGGTGCACACTCTAAAACATTTGGCAGACAGTTCAGGCCCTTTGCTACAATAAAGTAGGGACATTGGATTATATACAGAAAGAAACTGAAGCTCATTATTACATCCACAGGAGTCAACATTTCTAGTAATGTTACAGTTCTTGATACCACATATGTATATTTATATGATATTTCACTGTTAGAGTCTGTTTACAACCTAACCAAGATGCATTACATCAACCTTACAACTGAAATTACATGTTCTTATACCATTCTCAAATACAATTACAACTACAGTAAAAAAGAGAGAGAAAAAAATCATTGCAAAAAAGCTCTAGATAAAATTTGATTATTTACATGTAACTTGGGTTAAACAGTATATATACTTTACATGTATTGAGATATATCAACGATGATAACAAGTTAATCATATTTCCCTTAAACAAGGGCAAAAACTTCTCAACTGCACTATAACAGACAAACCACAATTTAAACAAGAACAGAGATATGATGACAGGAATTAAACTGTTTCTCACTACAAGAGGTAAAACCCACTGAGAAGTCTTGTTGTAGCTGCCTATACTGGAATGCAATCACTTCCAACATGCGTACAACTACACATTACAAGCGATCTAGTCCCTGGGAAGGCAGCATCAAAACTTTTCTGTACATTTTACTTTTGTTGTGAAAAACTTTTTATTCCCATCACCATGGATCCAATACAGTAGCTAAATTCTCATTCATGAAAGAATAAGAAAAGTTTATATATATAAATATCTGATGATCAAAACTTGATTGTGTGAAGAAAATTGCAATTGGTGAGGAAAATGTGACAGGGTATAAGCTATGGCATCACATCTTCTCGAGTTAAATAGACAAGACATCAAATTTTTTTTTTCCATTTCAGTGGGGTCACATCAAAGGAACTCTAAAATAACAGTATGGTGCCTATCACAGGGTAAAAGACAATCAAGTAATGTTCAACAATGTATAAACAGCATTCAAATCTGAGGTGCAGTAACTGTATATAAAATTCAATTGTCAAAACATAGGTTAAGAAGCATGCTAGTGTTCCAAGTTACAAATATATAACATAATTGAAAAGAAGAGAGATAAACTACAATATGATCATGATATACTGACATATTGGTAATATTTCATTCTGTGAAAAAAAAATCTCATGAAAAATCAATTTTATCAATATCCAAGTGACACTATATTTTTTTTATTTTTTTATTTTTTTGTAATTTTACGTAGCATTTCCACATACGATCTCCTCATGTTTACTGTAATAGAAATGATAATGCTGCTCTGTATAATTGAACTATAATTGTATTATCAGTAAATTAGGAAAAACTCGTCACTTTGCCCTAGTTACTTTTTTTCTAACATCTATTTACCTGGTTATTCTACATGTATATACAATGTATGTGTATGATGAAGTCAAACTTGGGTTGGTTTTCAAGATGGATTTCTTCATAGTACGCGTAAGCATCTTTAAGTCATCTTTAATTTCCTTAGTTATAATAAGTCACCACTGAGTATACAACCTACACATACATCTTTACTAATCATGATCACATCACCAGTAGTGTTTAAACATATCATACAGTGTGTAAAACCTCCTGATCTTTCTGTCACTGTAATAAAAGATTATCAAATACACACTATGACATGGTCCAATGTTATATGCCTTTTTCCTGACGTCCTGGAGGGAACTCAATCACCCCACCTCGCCAACACATGTCAGAATGCCCCTATCTCACCCAGAGACGCCCTAGTCGTGTATACACGGGCGGCACTCAAAGTGAGACAGAAATTTCACAACCCATGTATAAAGCTTGGTAAGGCATGATCAAAGTTGCATCCAGTTTTCCAACTGCGGAACTGTGATAACTATAACGTCAGACCATCCAGCTGTGTTGCCATGACAGCAATGTTGCAACTCACCCTGGCAGTTTGTTACCATGGACACACAATGTCCCGATATGATGTGGACAATTTAAGCTGAGGGGAGCACCTTCAATTGAAGAAGTTTGGAGTGCTGTATTAATGTAAATTTCATTAAACCACCAGACATCATAAACTTAATGACAATTTACAAATGCAATAAAATGGCAGTACATACAAACATGCTGTTGTATGTGAAATTTAATTTGAAGAAAATAATGCAGACATAATTTCTTAATTCAAATAGGTACAATCAAAAATCAAACACTAGAGACAATGCCACAATAAATTGGCTCACCTTATTACTAACCAAGACTTCTCAAATACATGTACTTCAAATAAGATCCGAAACAAATGCATATCACAAAAATTTAAACTTTATCAGATTTAGATTTCATGGCCATGTGCATTTTAACTTCATGAAATCTGATTGTGTATCTTATCATTACAGAATAAACTGTTCTTGGTTCTATACAGAAGGTGAGAACTTGTCATGACACTTCGTTTGAGACAGTCAGGACTTCTTGATGAAGTGAAATACATGTTTTACTTGTACAAAAAAGTAATTTTGATTTCTTTATGTCGATTTTTTTCAGAAATCATGCCTGCATCCTCATGCCATAGAAAAAAGTCACAATATTTTTAATTTGTTTTACTGCTATGATAAATATATATATAATAAGACTAAACTTTTTAAACAGATATACAATATAAGACCATTACACATTAATCAGGTGTGATTACACATTTCAAGATCTTGACGGTCACCAGTGTTAAAGATGAACAGTAAAGATCCAATACATATCTGGGTTTATTGAAAGAATGACATTGAAAATTGCTATGAGATCCAAAGGGATCTGTGTTGATGTTGTATGGTTTCTCCTCTTTTTCTAGTTGCTCTTTTATCTCCAGTTAATTAAAGAAGTGCCACTAAAGGTCAAGGCAATCTACACAGGAAATTATGAGAATGATCCCTCGAGTACTTCACAAAAAACAGCAATAAAAATAACTGAGATGAACAATGGACCACGGATGAAGGCAAATTTGAATACTTAATGACAAGTTAAACCATATAATAATGACGGTAACTAACTCATATATATATGATATTGATGGTAGGCTAAATCATATAATAATGACGGTAACTAACTCATATATATATGATATTGATGGTAGGCTAAATCATATAATAATGATGATAGGCAAAACTATATAATAATGACGGTAACTAACTCATATATATATGATATTGATGGTAGGCTAAATCATAATAATGATAGGCAAAACTATATAATAATGATGGTAAGCTCATATGATGTTGGTAATCTAATCCATATGATGATAGCTCTACATACATAGCCACTTTAAATGATTTATTCTTGGTTGTTATTAGTGCAATTTGTTTCTGCTGAATGACTGCCCCCCAATAAATTTGCTTTGTACCATATCTATCCTGCAATAAGCCCAGGGAGGCAAAACTTTAGTCTGTATATATATATATGTCACACATATCTAAGGGTGATGGGCTTATTCAAGGACAATGATAGTTTTTTTTACCAGAGCTAAATTGTACTGAAACACAAATAGATGTGGGTGGGTCTATTAGTGATCATGGGCTTTTTGGTGAATAGATAAAAGTATGTGTTGATACTTGAATTCAGAAAAAAATATCACAAATGCAGCTTTCCTGCTATTGGTATCATTGTAGTTCCTTTATCTAATTTCATGTTATTTCATGACTACGTTTTTCTAAAAGGATTACTCTGATGTTCTTTGACTATCCATCATAGGGTCTAGCAAATTCAATGAAAACAATAAAATATCTTAATACCATTTTGCCAATATACATTGATCAACACACTCTCAAACCAAGAGATTTATTTGAAATGTAAACCTCAGAAAAAAAGATGTAAGAAATAATTAATAAAAAAATTAACTACAATATACCTGGACTTTTATGACTTTTTCAAAGGTTTATCATTAAAGCAGTCAAATTTCAATGCGTTAGCCCCAGTGATTTCTGCAAGTTACAATCATGTTCGTGCCTACAGGTGCCTGTGTCCGATTTATAGATTTGTTGTCAAACTTCTACAGTATTGACAACTTTAAGGTTAGGATATAATACATTTACAAACCGGACGCAGGCGCCTGTGGATCTTGCATGAATTAGAAGTATTGATCCACTGCTAGATAAAACGGGAAATCGAATAATACCGTCAGGATTTCCACTATTTAATAGGACTTATTTGCATTCTTAAGAATTCTCTGATGTAATACAACATGCAGGTAATGTAACGTGGTGATAAGTCTGCCACAAATTCGTCCAGTGGAACTATTTTATCCTGGACCGTACAAGCATGCGTCCTTAAATTTTACGATTCACGATTGTGGTGTGACGCGAGCTAAAATTCGCCATGCCATCTACACTAATTCTCTTCCGAAGTTGTGTTAAGTTAACAATAGATGTGTGATAACATTGCATATATAAATAAATATAATGGAGCTTTGTCCTGTCAACTATAAATCTGCCAAACCTTTTACAAAATCGATTGGAAAGCCGCTCGCATCCATGTTGGAAGTTCTAATCTAATATTAAACAGAGAGGCGGAGACGGCATCATCCGGAAACTTCGGCCATGCTCGCCTATGATGAAGTTACGTCCTCCAAAAATATGTTAATAACTGTTATAAGTAACACTAGTCAACATGGAAAACTTAAATAAGAAAAAATAAAATATATCCAACTGATTAGATTAAGAAATGGGAATTCTAAAGAGCCCTTAAGAGCTTTTGATCAATTGATCACTATTAAAAAAATACTTCTTGTGTACTTCAATCCAAACTGGGGAACACCTTCATTCTCTGTTTGAGAATTTTCTTTTTCTTCAAATATGTTATATACGTCTCTGATGAATGACGACTCTGAAATCGTGAAGATGATCGCATACTCTGATTGACAATATGTTCGCTGAGTTTTCCATGAGTCTCCTCTGGTTTGGCGGACTCTGTTTACTTTCACACAAGACTGAATTTATCGATGAACTTATGAAAACTAGCCCATTTTGAGGTATATTGATGATGTCTATTCTTAAACTTATTATTATTGAGAAAATTACCATTTCTAGACAATCCCTGCTTCACACCTTAATATGGTGTTTGATTCGATATTCAATGCCTTTCCCGCCAATGCTGTTCCTCATTTTCAAAAGTGACATGTCTTACTTGATTTGAATTAGTTTTACATGGCGGATGTTTATGAAGCAAACAGCATTATAACTCTTCCGGAACGTTTGATATGACTGCACTTGTACTTTTTCATGGGACTGCGTGCAATTCTTTCTTGTTTTTTAGTTGTGTCCTAGTTTCATCGAATTTGAGTTTAGATAAGATATTTTTGGGTGAAATTTTCTTCGCTTTTCTTCGTCGCCTGTCCTTTAAGATATTCATTACAGTCGTTTTTCCATTGTTTAGAACTATTGTAGGATAATTGTGCGTTGTCTCATGACATCATATTTATTTCATTTGGGTAACTTTCTACTTTGTTGGTTACGCCACGTTAGCTCAATGCGGGATGACCTTGCTGGTCCAGGATGTAATCAAGTTTAACATAACTGATCAACTGTACTGATTCATACTTCGATATAAGTTGTTATAATTCCACGTGCAACGAAGCCATAGAAGACTAAACTATATCGGCTACATGATAAATATTAGAATATTGTTGTAAGATAAGGGAATGTTGGATACACCAGGGGTACGCTGTACCGTAGGTATGACTGAACACGAACTGGGTGTGTTGCACGCACTGTTGCACACACCTTCGGGGCGAGTTGACATACAACCAACTAGCACCAATGGGGCAAGTCGTCTGGAGAGTATCACATACAATCACCATAATATTGATTCAAGTTCTTCAGTTTCACGTTTACAATGTAGAGTGTACAAAAGACATGCAACAGTATTACACCTTATTGTATCAAACTGCGTCATACAGCCGTTTCGTCCTTCTTGGATTCGTCAGTGAAGCTAACGGACTAAATCTTGAAACCGGGGAAACCAAAATTGGTTGAAATAAGATACATTAACCTCAAATTTCAGTTTTAAGATAAAGTCGAGTAGATGTGTATATTCTGAAATTGTTTATAAAACTTAGTATGCACGTTGCGACATACCATATGTAGCCTGACATGTTCACGACGAATATTTATCGACCAATTTCCTCAATTTAAAGTCTAGACAAACTAAGCCGCTCTGCACTTTAACCATCAATATCTGTTTTATAGCAGTATGATCAACAGAGTGGGGAAATCTCAGATTGTGAGTGAGCCCTTTCTTGATAGTAACACTTATTCCTGATTATGTATAACATGTTATATGTGCCATATATTCATTTAGTTTGTATACAAATCTGTACATATTTATCATGAATAAATTTATTATTATTATTATTGTAACAGGTGCAAGTCTGATTCTTAGACAAACACTGTTTAGGGTTCTTGGTTTTTATTGTACAAAAAGGTGGATATAAACTCTGAAACATAAAAATACAATACATGAGCACACTCTCAACGTTCATTCTTACACAAGGGCGATAATCCCGTCACGGTTATTGATACACATGTATTCGATTTTACACAATTACACATTTATACATAGTTATATTATTGTAAATTGTATTTTAGAATTTACAATATATTTTAACAAAACAGTATATACAGTTCTTTTACAGAAATATAAAAGAATACGTTTACATGTTAAATTTATAGAATTAACATGCTTCAATTTCATTCACTCAAGATAGAATGTATACAAGACACAAAATTCATTCTGACACTCACCCAACGGGATAAGGTGGGAGTTTAGAGTCAAAAAATCCCCAACAGGGACGAGACGGGCTAAGCGACGACGCATCTACAAGGAAAACCAATCTTCTCCCGCGGACAAACAGGTTCTACACCCAAGGAGGGAAATGTGTGAAGTGCCAAGAAAGCAAGACAAGAAAGTCCGAAGAAAACCAGAGATGTTATTTGGTACTGTCCAGTCAGATGTCTAATGTCGAGTCACATGTCATTACATGAATAATTAAAACATAATAGTGCAAAAGGTCACTACTTGACCTTTATACAACTTGTATAACAGACTTACATTAAGGTGACATGCACCATCATATTCTATTTATTTTCATACACTTATTACGAACATAAATATGGCAAAATACGAATATATATACAATATAAACCAATAAAAAACAGTCATAAAATATCAACCTGCTACATTATTATTATTATTATTATAACACGATGTTTCCCTCTCTGGGGCATTTACATGATATCGTAGCACGGGGTTTTAAGAGACGCCAGTTATAGAAACTGTAAACATTGTGAGATCATCCTTTTTTCTAGTCCGATATTGTTGATTTTTTTCTAAGTTTTCATCCAGTAATTCCGAAATTCAATATGACTACACTTTCTGGAAAGACACACTCTTGACTTCGACTGAAAATTGGTGGAGTTGTGACGAAAGAGGTGTATTTAAACTATCTATCAGTCTGGTTCAGTATGGTTTGTCAGGTCACGTGACTGAGCGTTCATGGTTTTCTTTAATAATACATGTACATATCTGTAACTGAACAAAAAATGCAATTTAGCCCAAACTTGACGGAAATACTCCCGAGATGGTCCCGACTCTGTGTTGTGTGGTGATCTGAAATCAGTTTTGATTAACGTTACCTTTGGTATTTAAATATCTAAATGATGTAATGGCAAGTTGTCAAGAACAACTTTAACATACACTACTGAAATTCAGAGATGTTTTAGTGACTTATTTCATAATTGGTTACACTACCTCTAAATATTACTATATTATTCTGGTATTGATATTATAGTCAGATGACATTTAAACAATTGTACTGGGATTTTTCAGATTTACTTTTTTTGGTCCTAACTCACAAAACATATATAGAATATAAGTTACTCCCAATGGACGCTGTATAAATGAATCAGTGTAGTCTGTTGTATATCTCAAATTCTTTATTTCTAACCAAAATTTCTTGTGAAGGTGTAATATAATGGGATTATTGGAGTGTGATGCAGCCTGTTGGAAGATATATGATGTATTTGTGACGGAAAAGTTAATCTAGTTTGTAATCACTTTTACATTAGTCAAAAATGTATTGAAAACAGCTGTTTTGACATTGACATGAACTATGACTCTTCAATGATCTCGATGCACGTGACTGTAACCTTACACGTTCCAACATCGTTCAGGTCAATCAGGGTAATCTCAGAAAAGTCAGAACTTTAGTGGCAGTCATAAGCGTCACACTGAGAGCGATTGGTTGCACAACCAAAATCGAAACAGCAGAAGTGCATTTCGTCATGGCATGGAGGTCACTTTTAAAGTGAGTATCATCTTCTGTCGGACCAAATTATGTCAAGTGATTGATTTTAACATGCTAGAGTGCGTAAGGTTTAGCTATGTAATACGCAAGTTAGCCCAACCACAAGGTCTTGTCTAGATAATCCAATATTAGACAAGCCCTTGTGTCCTAGCCTTAGTCTGAAGTTTCACAGTATCTTTAAGTATGGGATTGTCAAGCTTTTGATTACTGCATTGAATTCATGGGAATTCTAAATTCATGGCAATGTTCTAGTTCTGCAAAATGTGCAATCCATAAGGAATTACCAAATACGTCGTAATCAATCCTGATAGTATATCACTGAATTGAATCAGTGATATAATTGATTCGTTCATGGAAATGATTCTCTCTAACTTGAATTAATGATACCAATAAATGAAGTACCAGTTGTATCTGATGTTGTCATTTTTTAATATTGATCCTAAAGGTGACGCACCTTCAATGAAATCATTGATATAACCCTGGTAAAACACCAACTGCAAAATATTGCTGGACTAGAAAGAGCTTCTCTTTACCTCAATTGGTTGAGTGTCAGGCTAGCAAGCCATAGGTCTCAGGTACGAATCCTAACGAAGGCACTGAAATAAATTATGACCTCTGTTACATTGGAGCCCATATAGGGACTTGGGAAGAGAATACTTCGCATTACTTTCAAAAGTACCACTGTAACCCCTGGACACTCGAGAACAAGTGATTTCTTACAGGGGGAGTATGTAACCCTGGTAAAAGCTAGCTGCAATATACTGCTTGGCTAGAGAGAACTTCTCTTTTGCTCAATTGATTGAGCGTCAGATTAGTAAGATAGGGGTCCTAGTTTTGATTCCTAGCAAAGGTATTAAAATAAAAAAAATGACTTCTGTTACAGTGATGTCACCTTTGGTTGATTGAAACACTGAAATAGCACCCTATGATTTCCGCAATATTTCCCCTGTGTGTTTACAGTTCATAAACTGTGTTTATGTTTGGCAGTAAGTACAACAATATCCCAAAAGCTTTGCATTTGGCATCCAAAACAAAGCAAGGATAAATCCCTTCAGGAGCCTGCATTATATGTTAAATCTGTATTTACTCCTTTCAATTCACTTTTGTTAAAAGAAAAGATAATTATGGTAAACAAAGATAGACCATAAATACCTGATAGAATGAGATACATGAGTAAGACAAAATTGATGTGCAATGAACATGTGGTTAACATTAAGAAGCCATGACTGGAAGGGATCAACTAAGAAGTGCTGAACCTTACTGGCCATAAAGTTGACAAAAGTTGAGGAATTCCAACATCAGGATTGTTGGTTGTTGTGTCTGTTCTATTTTCTTGGGTCAATTTACAATACATGATTTAACAAAGTTGTTAAATTTCACATCCTCACTGTGTTGTTATAACTGTCATACATGTATCACACAGAAAATCATGACAATTGAGTAACATTGGATATTTACTGGTTCTGATGTTGGTTGGTCCTGTGTCCATGCTTCATCTCTTACCTACTCGTAATTATATACTTACGTATGTCGCTATTAGAGAGAGGTTTCTACTCATGTTATATGCTATATTTAGAATCATTCAACATTTATCATATTTACTCCTGCTCTGAATCAAGGGAGTTTCACTTGTCTGTTGTGAATCAAGGGAGTTAACTCAATGAGAAAATAGAGTCACCAAAAAGAATCAATGTCTCTGATTTACCGTGGACAAAAATTGCAAAAAAAAAAAAAAAAAAAACACAAAACAAAAGGTCAGCCCTTTAAGTCTATCCAATCCAACAATATGTTGGAATAACATTGATATTTGGTATATTATTTATAGAATTGATGAACTCTGATGGTAACTGTGTTATTTTTACTTTCAGCATGATTCTTAACAATCCACAGTTGATACAAAAGGTATGTACATGTTTACTTTAATTTGTATAGTTACAACTTCCCTGAAGATGCAAATTTAAATTGAGATGTAGAAAAATATATATGGTTAAAATTAACTTTACTGGAATTATAAATTTAAACCTGGAGATACAAATTTAAATGTAAATTATGTATGGTCATCATTTGCTAGACTCGGAGATATAAATGTGAAATGTAAGCTGAGTCATTTAACATCTTATGTGATAGAGCACTCCTTGTAGTGATCCAAGGCCCAATGGAAATTGGGATAAATCATTAATTGTGTTGTGAAGTGAAAATGGTGGCTTTTCTTGGGAGCAGTGATGTAGATTTGAAAGGGAAAATGGAAAAAAAAATATCTCAACATCTTCCTCAAGTATGATTAATGTGCTAACCAATGATGGTGCAAAGCGAGTGGTCATTTTGTGACCTGTTAGTTTTGTTGAAATTTAAGATGGCTGCCTTAGCAAATTTTTGGATTTTATATTTCAGTGTTAGGTTTCAGGTGAATTCATACCCAGTGATCTAATAGTCATCTAGAATGCCTGTGCATGTATTACTCTTAACTAGAATTGATATGGACAATGCTTATTTAATGAATCCAAAACAAAGTAGTTCCATAATCCAGGACTGTAAATACTACCAGTGTGCCATTAGATAGTGTTCACTTAATTATTCTTGGTTCCCTTGAATTAATGTTTAATGTTAAAATCATGTAAGTATTTTAAATTAGCAGATGCATTCCATTTTCATGGTTAGTTTACGTAACAAAATTGTGTGTAAAATTATAGATAGATAGAGAGAAGGCATCACTAAGTTGTTATAACTTGTGTCTAATCCTGGTTGTTTGATGACATTGAAAATATGTTTAAATCAATCAATAAATATGCTCGTGAGCCTCATGTGTGATTCATCCATTCGTGTCATTATTGAAGCTTAAAGTGTGAGGTGAGATCAAGATTCCATTCAACATCTCTCCCCTCCTGAAGGGTTTATAAGATTATGATCAAATCTGGCTGAAATGCTTTTTTCAATCATGCCCAATGGCCACTTGAACTAAGTGGTAATTATATTGGCATCATCATGCTGTCACATTAATGTGTCAATGTCAGGATCAAATATGTTGGTAATTAAAAAAGGTCCTGTAGAACAGTAAACTATTTGATGTCCTTTTACAGATACAAGTTTGAGGGCTTCACATAGCTACCTTTCAAGCCATTAATTCGTTGATGTTTTTTTAGCTTTCAGAGTCTCCTCCTATCAGAAATTCTGCGAGAGTAGTCGCTGGCATGATAAATAAAGCTCGTTTTAATGGTAAGAGTAACCAGTGGAATCTGAAATCTGAAACTCTTATATATATCTTAACATGTACTTAACATCTGGATTTTTTAATTTTCCCTTCTAGAATTTAACACTTTTTGCTTTTGATAAGTATCTCTGATAAGTCATAGAACATCTGTACATGTATGTATAACACATTTTATTTTTTACCATTATTTGTATCTGTTGAACTCAAATATATATATTAGTCTTAATTTAGTTCAAACCTCTGTGTTCTACCAGTGGGTTTATTATTATACTTGCTCATGGTGGTGAGTTGTTTATCGTGACTTGGCCAGATTGTCTCCATCACCTTTGATTTGCTACAATAAGTTTCAGTAATGAAGACTTTAGTGAGAATTACACATACAAAGTAATTTTCTGACTAAATGGTATCTTCTTTTTTTCTACCATTCTAAAGATCTGATAGATTTACCAGTAGATTCCTTGTTTGATTATATTTCAAGGTATTGTACTGGAACTGGGTACAGTATGTACCAGGTATTTGTTTCGCAGTGTTTTCAGTGATTTTGTTACCAATATATTTCAGCTGAAGATAAAGTGGATGAACTAAAGGGGAAGGCAAAAGATGCAATGAGTCAAAATTCAGTGAAACATGAGGAAACAACATCATCAGCAGTACCAGGATCTTTTTCAGAAACGTTCATACGAGAACTCAAAGATGGGTTTAAAGGCTTATCAGAACAGTTAGAACGAGAACAAGAACTCGAAAAAGAACGACAAGAAATGGAGGAAAAATTAAAAAGAGAAAATCAAAGAAAATAGTGTCTTGTTTAAGATGTATGTAGTACATGTTTATTTGTTGAATGAGTGATTTGTTATAAAGTCCATGTCACCACATATACTGTTTGAAAATGTCTAAGTGTAAATCTACACTAGTCAGTGTGAAATATGATTAACATGTCAATATATTTACTGAGTTATAGAACTGTGTTAAATCAACACAAGTCAGTGTGAATACTGAATCACTGGATTGTGTTAAATCAACACAAGTCAGTGTGAATACTGAATCACAGGATTGTGTTTAGCCAACACAAGTCTGTGTAAATACTGAGGTACAAGGTTGTACTTAGCCAGCGCAAGTCTGTGTGAATACTGAATCACAGGATTGTGTTTAGCCAACACAAGTCTGTAAATAAGCTATTTGTGGATAACATGGAATGTGTAAACCAGTATGAAAGTGTGTATCTGTTGAGAAGTGTTCAGTGCATATGATAATTGAATACTGTTTGATAGCCGGATGGGAGAGTTGTACTGTTAAACTCCTAGAATGTGATATTTACATGACATACATGTTCGTGGCAAGGTGTAGTCATAGTAACAAGTTCTTCTTTCTGCTGTATTTTTGTTACTGAGAGAATAACTGTGAACTTCAATAAGGCATCAACAAAGCATGAATAATTAGTCATTTGTGACAAAAGCTACCTTTGATGTGTTATCATCTCCTGACATTTCAAAAATAATTTTTAAAAATACATATTTATATTACGACTTGCCATGTAATAAATACCTAGAAATATGTCTTTCATAATAAACAGTAAGATTTATGGAGTTTATTTATTATCTGTTCTTGTATCAGGGTGAGGCTGAATTCCAGGAACCTACCAGCCAAGTATAATTCTAGATGATTGGGTTTACTGTAAACAAATGTGATAGTGTTTGCACCCCTTTGACTTTGATTATGGGTCAATTTTTAAAATTCTGTCGACTTCATCGAAGGAACCTATCAGCCAGATATGATACTAGTCTTGTGTCGTAAAAAGTCTTGAATTTGGAGGAAGGTCATTGTTGTATTTTGCATGAATTGTCAGGATTTACTTAGATACCTACCTTGAATTCAATGCTTTTCACAAATTATTCACTAACATTTCACATCATTGATATTCAAAGTCTTGGTTAATGACAAATTTAAACTTAAATGTAGTTCAAGGTCATTTTATTTTTCTCAACTTTGTCAGGCTTCATACATGGAACCTTCGGCTTGCTCCTATTGGTTCATCAGATGAAGATGTTTTGATCAATTTTAACCCTCTTTTGGCCATGAATATGGGTCAAGGTAATTTCTTTTCTCAAGTTTTTGTCAGGTTTCATCCCAGGATCAACAAGCCAGATATAATTATAAGCCTTTTGGTTAATCAGAAGTAAGTTTGAATGTTTGAACACACTTTGTCAGGCTTCATCCCAGGAGCCCCCAGGCAAATCTTACGGTTCTAGGTCTCTAATTTATTGAGAAGAAGTTGCTTGAACTTTTCAACATTTGACCCCTGTGGCCTTGAATATGGTTTAATAATGTCTTTTTCGCAAATAAATGGCTTCATCCAAAGAATCCTCCAACCAAAGAGATCGAAGAGTCTTTTGGTAATTGAGAACATGTTATTTGAAAGTTTTGACAAATTTGAATCATGTGCCCTTAAATATTGGTCAGGGTCATTTCTTTCTTGCAAATTTTAAAAGGATTGAACTCGGAAAGCTATCAGCCATATATCATGATTCGAGGTCTTTTGAATCTTCAGAATATGTTGTTTGAATGTTTTAACATTTTTGATAACTGACCTTGAATAAGGGCCAAGAAAGTGTATTTCAACAAACTTACTCGGGCCTTCCGAGAAACCTGCTAACCAAATATTTTGATTCTAGGCCTTTTGGTTCGTCAGAAGATGTCGTTTGTAGGATAACAGATTGACTCACGTGACATTGATTTAGGGTCAAAGTCATTTCAACGCCGAAAAGACCAATGCAAAGAACGAGAGACACCGCAATCCGTTGGGACAGATGAGCTTAAAACTTTGGAAGCAGTACGCTCCAGCCAGCCTGCTTTTCTCGAATCAAAGTTACACAAACCTTTGGTCTGGAGGCCAGTATCTCTGATCAAACCATTTAACTCTGCATTACGTTATCTAAAGTGCTTACACCTACCTCGGAGACTGGATGTTCACGACAATGGATAATGGTTCCAGGCATTAGTAATTAACAGATCGCGGACCTTATGTCAAGGCGAGTTTCAAGATTCTTTTATTTAGATCAGAGACCTATTATATATGTTATATACGTCTCTGTTTAGATGAACCCATTACATACATACTGTTTGTTTAAAAGACAGAAATCTCAAGACCATCAGACCACGGACTTAAATACGTCTACTATATAGTGTGTTGTAGACCGTAACTACTACTTCGTATAATCATTTCTGTGGACTCATTGTCCGTGATGGAAACTTTTCTAAATCCATTCAATGTTGATGTATGGGAGACAGTGGTAACATTAAAGTTATATAGGTAAACCAATGCAAATGGTTGACAGTACTTCATGAAGTAAGGACAATTCACAAAAACAAATACATCTTGTATTAATCGGCATCCTGACATTTAGGACAAATAAAACTTGTATCAAGTATATAATTTCCCTAACGTTTTCAATTTGAGCCATCTATCGTACGTTTTTGTCCGTATGATTTTTCTTGCAGTTAAAGGAAATATTTGGTACGTGAGGGGTTGATCTGACAAACCTTATTAACTTGTGGTTCAAAAGAAAGGAAAATCTTGAACAAAAATGGAAAAGAAAGAGAAAAAAGAATTCTCACGATATAAGGTTTACCCCAAGTTTGATCAATATCTGCTGTCGTGAACACGCAGTGGGTTCAGGGCTGGTTGTCAATGAAGTATTTTATTACATTGGATAACATAATGATCATATTACCCTTAAATGTGTGTCAGACCTTGCCGACTTTGCACACATTCTCATTTTTTCTGGGATCTCGCCACCAATTTTAAGAACTGTACTGACTCGCTGGGACATTGTCTGAGCATTCTATAATAAGCAACGACATTCGACGCTAGAAATTTTTTAACGTGCTAAAATATCTCCGGCGGATTTGCAAAGCGGTTTACATAATCTCATTACGACGCTGTCCATAGACGTGAATAAAAGAATAATCATCTGAAATGTCTGTGTGGATTATTACAGAAATTACTGACAGTTGTGATTGTTTAATCGTTTATAATCCAGTTATCAAGGACTTAGATATAGTGAATTTTCTTCAAATGTACCATGGTGAAACACTCTCACTTTCTTACAGAACTGTTAGTTGTATAAGGCCCATTTAATGTATGAATGACACAATGAAAATTGGTCTGTAACAATCAGTGAAGAAGTACTACCTTTATTAAAATGTAATAAATCGGTCACCTCACTTCTTTCTACATCATTACTCATTTTAAACTTTTCAGCTCTCACACAACTTATTATGCAGGTTATCAAAAACCGGCATAAATGTTCTGTTATTTAGTATGTCCCTTCAAACATCAAGCTGATGTAGTCGAAAAAATAAACTTCCGGTTGGCTAGAATCCAATCTGAACTTCGCAAAGCGACAGAGAGTTTGGCAAGTCCTTATTGTCCATTATGTTTTTTTCAGAATTAATTGATAATCTTAATTTGGCAAGGATCACATGATTCATTGTTCATAACCCTTGGCACCTACCTGACGTTAACTGGTATTTGCTTCTTCCCCATAAACGAAATATGAATGAACAGTAAATAAATAAATGCACGTCGCCACGTGTGCATTTCATCTGTTAGCCTGTCAGTCTGTCGAAGTCTGAATTTATATTAAGAGTAACAACTTTGTGGAGAAGTTAGTATCAGCTGAGTATGACTCACTTAATTGTTAACTTTTTAAATTTCTTAAAATGCTGAGTTTAAAAAAACGTATCATATGGCCTATTTTGGTACATATGGTCCTTAAACATCTTATAATTATCAGATCATCAAGAGCAATAACAATTGTTTCATTGGGACCTGATTGCTCTGAATAGGATTAGATGCTATGTTATTCGGTGAGAGAATAACCTTTAGCTACAAGGAGACATTGCCTCAAAATAACCCTGACTATTGCTTGGGCGATAAATCAATCATACACCCAATCATTTATCATTACAATGGTCACTTTATTGGTGGAAATGAAAAGCTTTCAGGAGAGTTCTAGCTGATAGCAAAAGTATTTATCTTAGATAATAATAAAAAGAATCTAATGTACATCGAGATAAACTTAACATTATCATTTTTTAATTTTCTTCCAGATTCCTTTAAAATGGAGGATGACCCATTTGCAGATCTAAAGGTAGATTCTCAGTCCTTTCTCGATGTAATGGATGGCCGTACGTCTTGTCCTAAGTGTGGCAAATCCAGAAAATACTATTGCTATACCTGTTATGTGCCTGTTGTTGGCATAGAGCACAAGATTCCCAAGGTCAAGGTGAGAACTGGATAACATTTCAAACGTGTATTTTTACAGTGCATTACATTTAAAATATGACTTTATAACTCAAAGCAACATTAGGGTAAAAAAAATTATACAAGACACTTTTTACTGATATTAGTGTAAATGATCTTACACTTTCATGTGTGTACTTCATTTCATTGAGCATGGATTAATATATATATGATATATCTTCTATGATATATTTCTTAAATGATTCACAAGACATTACTGGATAATTTTCAAAACTTTTTTGTTTATACCAAACAATACAAACAAAATCTGACTATAAAGATACGACAAAAAAAGCCTCCAAACGTTATTAAAATCGATGCAAAGTTTATGAAAAAAAATGACAAAAAAAAATTCACAGCCAAGTTTTGTATTGCAATAGATTCCATCTCCATGTTTGGCTTCCAATATGGATACTCAAGAAGCACCTTTCATGTACATGCAAAGTTTCATTATGATTTCAGCTACCATTCAAAATTGATATCATTAAACACCCCAGTGAATGTGATGGAAAAAGTACTTCTGGTCATGCAAGAGTTATTGCCCCTGATGATGTGACCATCTACACATATCCATGCATTCCTGACTACCTAGATCGAGACCGGGTAAGAAGAATATATATGAAGTTGTACACCTGGCGTAACAGACTGGTGAAGTTACTGTCACTGTAACCAGGTGTATAGATGTGTGTAGGAACAGTTCTGATCATGATTGGTATGAAATAAGTATCGTGTCCTTTGAGAGCAAGGTAAGGGTCCAATACCATAACTTTTCAGTTTGACCAGGTGTACTCTGGCTGTTCATTTATGAAAGAAGGATGGGATTTACTGATCTTATTTTCCTTTCTAACAAAATGATTTTTCTGCAAAAAGGAACAGGCCCCATATAACCAGAACAGAGGTAAAATCTTAGTTCAAATAACTTATCTAAACCCACATGTCTTTACTCTGATGAAAGACAGGACAGTGTCTTCATTAGTGGAAATATTATTAGCTTCTGCTATTTGACTAAAGACAGTGTATTTTTTGTGTCACCTAACTGTAGGGACAATATATTATCTGTAAACTTCTGTTTTATGTAGAAGTAAGTATTTGTAAATTAAAATGAAAACGTCATATTGTTTCATGGCCATTGTTTTTCTTCATCTGTCAATGTCCAATTATTAGCCAACCTGTTCAAAGAGAGTAAGTTAAATATACATGTAATTCTCTCAAAACTAGAGTTGATGAAGTTGCTTTTCCGAGAAGCTGCTCAAGTACTGGTATTGCACCAGTTTGATGACAGAGTGAAGCCAGATCACAGCATTTCCTTATGGCTAGGTGTCAATTTAACAGCAAAAGTAGTTCTGAAGTCTTCTAACTTTTACTATAATTTGTAAGTGGTGTTGTATATTGTTATAACTTGTAGATGGCGCTGTATATAACCATAATTTATAGATGGTGCTGTATATTACTATAATTTGTAGATGGTGCTTTATATTACTATAATTTGTAGATGGTGCTTTATATTAATATAATTTGTAGGTGGTGCTTTATATTACTATAATTTGTAGATGGTGCTGTATATTGTTATAATTTGTAGATGGTGCTGTATATAACCACAATTTATAGATGGTGCTGTATATTACTATAATTTGTAGATGGTGCTTTATATTACTATAATTTGTAGATGGTGCTGTATATTACTATAATTTGTAGGTGGTGCTTTAAATTACTATAATTTGTAGGTGGTGCTGTATATTACTATAATTTGTAAGTGGTGCTGTATATTACTATAATTATAAGTTGGTGCTGTATATTACTATAAATATTAGATGGTGCAGTATATAACTATTACTATAATTATTAGATGGTGATCTATATTACTATCATTTTTAGATGGTGCTTTATATTACTATCATTTGTAGATGGTACTGTATATTGTAGGTGGTGCTGTTATTTCCTGGGGATGGATCCATTAACATGGCAGCATTGGCTGAGAAGTTTTCTCCTCCTTCATACAATAATAAGAAGGAAGACAAAAGTAAGGTAGACAGTGGTAGCTGTGTGGCACAAACAGATGAGTTGTATCCATACTGTAAAAGATCCCCATCCAATGGAGATCAGCACACTTGTACTGAAGTTTACAATGACATTTTGTCTTCACCTGACAGAGAATCAGTGGTAGACCATGAACATGACCAAACAAGTACAGAATCATTATGTGATAGCACATCACTTGCCAATACAGACATTACTTGCCAGAAAAATGAGAATTCTGCAAGCAAGAAAAGAAAACACTTAGTAGATAACAAGGAAGTTAAAAGGTCAAAGTTAATGACTGAGAATACAAAAAGGTTAGAGGTCAAGCCTCCATTTGACAAAGTAATAATTATTGACAGTACATGGAATCAGACGAAGAGGATCAGCTCAGATGAGCGACTCAGAGGTAAGCTTTCAACTATCCATTAAGGATTTTTCTCTCTTTTGAAAATGTCTGGAACCTGACACACATTCCAACAAGGCTTCTGGTTGCCTACAAGGTGAAACGTAAAATTGATTTGGTTTAGATATGATATGTTGCTCTCAATTATCTCCAGCAGTGAAGTCAAATATTTTTAAATATGATAAATATTTCAATGCAATTTGTGACAAAATACCACTTTGTCTCTTCAGTCAAAGTAATACCATTTGTAATCTTATCAGCTATATGACAATAGACTGCTAGTCAGTAAGTTATCTCCCCTTAGAGCATGGTCTATATCTGAGCTATATGACATTAGTTTGCTGTCTGTAATTTTGGAACATTTTCTTCAGGTTGATAATGTCAATAGAATAAAAGTTCATATAACAAAACCAGTAGACTTTTATCGCAACATTTCAATGACTTCACTGACACCTTCATCAGACAATGCTGCGGGTATGTAAATGATCTCCCCTTAGAACTAGGTCTGTATCACAGCTTTATGACAACACACTGCTGGTCTGTAAGTGATCTCCACTTTAAACATTGTCTCATGGTTGATTTAGATTTAATCATTGAAAGAGAATCATGCGCATTGGTTAACTATTCTTGAAAAATGATCAGTCATAAAACCCTGTAATGTTTTCTCCTTCAGGCCTTACCTGTTTGGAGCTGAAGACGAGACACAGTAACTTTTGGAGACACCAGAAAGACCTTCCACCAACATACCTATCCACAATTGAAGCTATCTACTATTTTGTAAGAGATTACCATGACATCTTCTTGGCAAGTGAAAAGTATGATGGCAGATATGATAACCTGCTTTTCTTTTTCACGTTTATGTACAATAAAATAAAAAATATGTATGATGGTGGAAAAAACTTGAAGGCTTACAGGCAAAGGGTAGAGAAATCAAAGAGCAAAGTGTGAATGTGATATTAGTATTTTTGAAAAGGGCTGCTGTGTAGATGTTCCAGAATATTGTTTGAGAAATGTTAAATGAATAAAAACTTGTATATGTCTATAATATATGTGATAGGATTTCCTTTTTGTTTGGCTTTTCCATCATTATTCTTAGACCTCTTAGGGTAAGGTGTGCTCACCTTCAGGGTCGGACAGCAGTGTAGAAGCTAGAACACAGAACAGAAGACATCAGTATTCAATTCTTAGACCTCTTAGGGTAAGGTGTGCTCAGCTTCAGGGTCGGACAGCAATGTAGAAGTTAGAACTAAGAACTGAAGACATCAGTATTCAATTCTCAGACCTCTTAGGATAAGGTGTGCTCAGCTTCAGGGTCGGACAGCAGTGTAGAAGCTAGAACACAGAACAGAAGACATCAGTATTCAATTCTTAGACCTCTTAGGGTAAGGTGTGCTCAGCTTCAGGGTCGGACAGCAGTGTAGAAGTTAGAACAGAGAACTGAAGACATCAGTATTCAATTCTCAGACCTCTTAGGGTAAGGTGTTCAGGGTCAGACAGTAGTGTAGAAGTTAGAACAGAGAACTGAAGACATCAGTATTGGTTTAATTTTTTATATTGATTTACACAGCATTAACCATGTAAACAAGTATAACTACAACAAATAAGGTTTTAACAAGATAATTTTCCATATTTATCATTACTACATATAAATAATCAAGTCTGTAAGAATATCAAAAACAAGAAAGATATATAAAACATGTATATGTAATGAATCAATGGACCATATCAACATTAATATATAGACCATATTAACGTTAATATATAGACCATATCAACATTAATATATAGACCATATCAACATAAATATATGGACCATATCAACATTAATATATGGACCATATCAACATTAATATATGGACCATATCAACATTAATATATGGACCATATCAACATTAATATATGGACCATATCAACATTAATATATGGACCATATCAACATTAATATATGGACCATATCAACATTAATATATGGACCATATCAACATTAATATATGGACCATATCAACATTAATATACGGACCATATCAACATTAATATATGGACCATATCAACATTAATATATGGACCATATCAACATTAATATACGGACCATATCAACATTAATATATGGACCATATCAACATTAATATACGGACCATATCAACATTAATATATGGACCATATCAACATTAATATATGGACCATATCAACATAATATACGGACCAATCAACATTAATATATGGACCATATCAACATTAACATATGGACCATATCAACATTAATATACGGACCATATCAACATTAATATATGGACCATATCAACATTAATATATGGACCATATCAACATTAATATATGGACCATATCAACATTAATATATGGACCATATCAACATATCAACATTAATATATGGACCATATCAACATTAATATATGGACCATATCAACATTAATATATGGACCATATCAACATTAATATACCACCCTGAATCTAAAACTGTGCTGGTCCACTCCTAGGGAAGGAGTTTTAGCTTTGTTGTTCTTCATAAAAGCTTGTATTTATTGGTGTAGGAAAAGTAGACTTTACGAACTGCCTAGTTAGAATCTCTGGATATCTCTGAAGAAAGAGTGAATAGTAATGAAATTTGTCATAAATTTTTCATTTTACCTCAACAGATGCTTGTGAGAAATTTTATCAACCTCGTAAGAAGTTTGTGTAAGATCCTGTATTCTATATTTCTTACTCTTAGTAGAGTAAGCACAATGGATATAAAATCAGTAGTCCTATGTAAACAGGAAATTTGGCAAAAGTCACAAAAATTATTTAACCATATTTTACCAGATAATGCGTAGACCAGGAGGTTAGTTAAATTTCACATGTTACATGTATATAAAACACAGCATATGCATGGTTAACAGTACACACTGATCAAAATAGCAGAGGTCACTGGTACTTAAAGGAATGGACATATCACAAACATAGTAGACCAAAACATTTACGATTCTGGATTTCAATAAATAGTAGACATGTAGGTATATAGACACTTCATTGTAACATATACAACATAATATTCTGAGTTAAATACTTATAAAGAATTCTCTCACTAAAAAAGAAATAAAATAAAAACAAAACTATTAACTATTTAGGAAAAATTCTCTATCTCTAGAAATATCCGAATTGTTCAACCTGCTTCACCATAAACAATAAAGCCATTTTTTATATGTGATTTATTTATAGAGGGATTGAATTTAACAAGTGTTTCTTTGTTAAATGATCATAAAAATCCATGTTTTGATGATTTTTAAAATCTTGTGTATATCAAACTTTACACTATACAAAAGTGTTTATGTTAAAGCAAGAAAACAAGTCAAACAGATAAAATTCACATCTGATTTTAGTAGACCTTGGTATTTAATTATAAGTGTTATCTGTAAAATGTATGATTTTGTATAAATCTACAAAACTTTAACACAAGTTTAAAAAAAATGTCAAAATACTAAAAAAATTACCTTAATTTGGATCCTTATTTTAATAAGTCAGTGAAACATTGTTTTATAAATACAAGAGGCCCAATAGACATGTAAAACTCACCTTTTATTAATATTATTGCTAATAGCATAATGGAGGCTTACTATTGTTCATACCGGGTATTTATTGGATATTATTACAGAATACTTTTAGAACCTTTGTTTTAATGCAGCTTATTCCACTCTGAACTATATGACACTAATGATGGGTCAAGGCCTTTCATCTCGACAAACTTGATAACTTTATAGACTTTCATGCCAGGATGCTTTTTGTCAAATATCATGACTCTATGGCTAATTGTTAAGAGAAGATAATATTTTCCAAAAAATAAATTGATGCAGGACAGGACGGTAGCTACATGTTAACAATAAATAAGTTTCCAATGCTGCAACATTTCAGTAAAGATCATCAGGAAAGGTTCCATTCAATATTTAGATAACAATTGTAAAGCAATAGATATATCTGTGTAAACTGGAAATTGATTCAATAACACATTTATTCGGACAAGAAATCACGAAAATTTGGAATAGACACTGAGCACATTAAGTCCACGGTACTGAGCTAAAAACTAATACTGCTGCATTCTTTATGCAAAATATCAATATAATCTTAGGGAAAAAATTAAAGATTAAACTAAAGAAATATCATCCAATGTGAAAGGCCATTGATACTATACTTGTTTCAAACCAATAACATATCAAGAGGCCCTAGAATTACTATCAGTAGTGTGTATCATAAATGTGATCACATGCCAATGTTAAGCAGTGCTGTTCCCTCTTTTCTGTGTTTAGATAATACAGGACATGTAAAAACAGACAATGATACATCAAGGACTGAGTAATTTTTGTATACAAGGGAGTTAATATGACTGTCTAGCTGGCCTCAGTGGCTCAAATGTCAATTAAAGTTTACCAGTGGTTAGTGAAAACTTTAAAATGTTTCTGCTAAAAAAATGAGTAATAAAGGAAAAAATAAACACTTAAAATATATAAGCCTCACCTGCCACTACACATGTACAGGTGTGAAATGATTAATATGTACCCAAATTAGTTTGATTCACAGTTGGAAAGTTTAGCCCACCACTGGTTATATCTAACCAGCCTTTCAACAACTGGGGTCTGATAGTACATTAATGTATCTCTGGCAATAGTGGAAGGCACAAAGAAATGGTACTTAACTTGTTCCCCTTCAAGTAGACACAATTCCTAAATCTATATAGAATATCCTAACTAATGTAAAAAGGACAACTGCCCAACTATTAACTGCAGAAAATATAAACTTTTAAAGGACATATTAATTTTAAATCTAAACACACACCATTGTTTGATCATTATTTGTTCTTTAAAATTGTGATCTTTTCTCTTCTTTTCTCTGCTGTAGTTTTGCTCTTAATTATATGAAATTTGAAAATTCTTCTTGAGAAATAGCAATTATAATCTTTACCTGCCAAAAACAAGATGGTCTTCTGTCAGCCATTTTGTTTTCTAATCAGTCACAACTAGGGATCTAAGGGAAGCTAACATAAATTTTGAGACAGCTCTATCCAGTATTTCTCAAGAAATGGCTATAAAAATCTTTCATTGTCAAAATCCAAGATGGCCACCTGTCAGTCGTTTGATTTTCCTTTCAGTCCCAAAATCAACAGTTCACAACTTGGGACCAAGGGGCACATACACATACACTACAAATAGTGACAACAAGAACTGTTTACAGATGGACAGACAATAGACATTGACAGTTAGAAAAGCCTACCATTTCAAGATAGTGGGCTAAGAAAAGGATGAAACAAAAAATCATGTTCTGTTCAGTTGAATTAACCAGATGAAGAGTTGATAAAATTATTTAGGAATATTCTTAAATATTTATCCCATTTCATATATCTTGATGATAATGTGAATCCTATCATTTTAACACACTGTAATAGTCTATAATAGCCTTGACAGCAGTAGAGACAATGTATATACCCTGGTTCTAATGAGCAGTAATAACAGTCTAAATACCCTGCCACAGTACGAAGTCTGTATGTGTACAATTAATTATAAATCTGTTTACACAACTACAGTATCTTCTGATCCCCTCCCTGAACCACTTTCCTTTCTCATTCCAATCCATCTACATCTCTGTGCTAAAACAAAGCTCAATGTCACCAGTAGGGTATGGAACACAACTTCCAAAAGGATTGTTAGAACAAAGATAGATAGACAATATCAGGATAAATTGTCTGCTATCTCTGGTGTCAGGTTAAAACACCAAGGATGGACAGATGGGACAAAACACAAGGATGGACAGATGGGACAAAACACAAGGATGGACAGATGGGACAAAACACAAGGATGGACAGATGGGACAAAACATAAGGATGGACAGATGGGACAAAACACAAGGATGGACAGATGGGACAAAATACAAGGATGGACAGATGGGACAAAACACAAGGATGGACAGATGGGACAAAACAAGGATAGACAGATAGGGGACAGAAAACAAGGATAGACAAACAGGGGACAGAAAACAAGGATAGAAAGACAGGGGACTTAACATAGCAATGGACAGACAGGACAGAAAACAAGGATAGACAGACAGAGGACAGAAAACAAGGATAGAAAGACAGGGGACTTAACATAGCAATGGACAAACAGGACAGTAAACAAGGATAGACAGACAGAGGACAGAAAACAAGGATAGAAAGACAGGGGACTTAATATAACAGTGGACAGACAGGACAGAAAACAAGGATAGACAGACAGAGGACAGAAAACAAGGATGGATAGACAGCGAACAGAACATGAGGATACAAAAATGGGACAGACCACAAGAAAAATATGACCGGAGACACAATGGACAGACAATATGAAACACAACCCAATTGTCCCTAGTTTCACCAGTAGGGAACATAACACAACCAATCTGGCTAAAAATATGACATAGCCAACACAGCTAATAAAAAATAAATTTAGTTTACAAGTTGTTTCCTTTTAGTCAATATTGTGATGAAGCCAGTCTCACTTTAAATCTTGAACATCACAAGTACAAGGGACTACTCCAGACCCAACTGTTTACGTATATACTGGATGACAATGCGTTGGGGTTTTTGCTGCCATTCTTCCATGATGTCGTGTGGTGAGTTGATCTGATCTCCTTTCAGTCTATCCAGTAATGTTACACACAAGACTGCACCTAATTAGAAAAACAAAATTAAGATAATCATTCTTCTGGGTGAAACCGTTCTATATCTGTGTATGTGACACCTCTTCAAATTAACTCTCTCAGTTCACAAAGGGCAGTAACTCTGTCTGTTAAACACATTTAGGCTTATGTATCATGACCTACATTTTGTACCAACATTAAGTTTGACCTACTTTTCACTCCAGCTCTGTGTGTCATAGAAGCAAAACACAGTGACTCCATTTCAATGTTGACTACTCTTCGGGAATGTGCCCTCTTCAGGAAAGCCATCTTGTCCTCTGGATTATAATCACAAAAAGCACCGTCTAGTCTTGCCTGGCCTGAAATTAAGACATACATTTCAGTTCATAAATTTTATGTGTCTATTTCAAAGGTGACAAAAACACAAATATGTATTAAGATTATATGTTAAGCCATATTCAAACAAATTATCACACAAATATTCAAAGGTGACAAAAACACAAATATGTATTAAGATTATATGTTAAGCCATATTCAAACAAATTATCACACAAATATTCAAAGGTGACAAAAACACAAATATGTATTAAGATTATATGTTAAGCCATATTCAAACAAATTATCACACAAATATTCAAAGGTGACAAAAACACAAATATGTATTAAGATTATATGTTAAGCCATATTCAAACAAATTATCACACAAATATTCAAAGGTGACAAAAACACAAATATGTATTAAGATTATATGTTAAGCCATATTCAAACAAATTATCACACAAATATTCAAAGGTGACAAAAACACAAATATGTATTAAGATTATATGTTAAGCCATATTCAAACAAATTATCAAACAAATATTCAAACAAGTAATCATAAGCAATCAAACCCTGCAGTACCTTGGTAAAAGGTCAGTGTGATACCGCTACACCACCTTACCATCTCAAACATCTCAAACTTAATTCAATCCGACATACATATAATTAATAAATGGGTGACAATCTAACAGAATCAGGATACAAATCCTAACAACATACTCAGCCCAAATTTCTGACTTTATAGAGAGGTTACCAAGAGATCCCAGAGAGATCCTTCCATTGTTTGATCTTTATTTGCTATTTGAAAGTTGGATCTTTTCCCTTCTTTTTTCTTCTCTTCTCTGTTTTTGCTCTTAATGATAAGACATTTGAACATTCCTTTGCAGAAATAACAATGATAATCTTTCCCTGTCAAATCCAAAATGGCCACCTGTTTCTTTTGATCAGTCCCAAAATTAAACAAGCACAAGGAGAGACTAAAGGGAAAAACATATGAAATTTGAGTGATATCCATTCAGTACTTCTTAGGAAATAGCAATAGCAATCTTTACCAGGCAAAATCCAAGGTTGCTGCCTGTCAGCAATATTTTCTTTCTGGTCAGTCCCAAACTCACACAATCACAACTAGGGATCATAAAGGAACATATACATGAATTTTTAGAAAGATCTATTGAGTACTTCTCAAGAAATAGTGTTAACAAGCTTGCACAGTCCAAAATGGCTGCCTTTCGGCCATTTTGTTTTTCTAATCATTCCCAAAAGCAAACAGGCACAACTAGGACCAAGGGGAACCTACATATGAAATTTAAGAAAGACTTATCCAGTACTTTTCAAGAAATAGTGATAACAAAAATTGTTTATGGACAGATGGACAACAGACAGACAACGGACAGCCACCAAACGGATGACGGTCCATGGACGTAGAGGGATTTGATCATCTGATGATGGTGGGCTAACTAGCCAAGAAGTTATGATGAACAGACATGACATGGAAGGTACCACAATCAACCATAGATATCCTGTAATAATAATAATAGCCTGTACCCTGATGTATAGTAAACTTACAGGGTACAGTATGTTCTAGGACTAGTATCTACCTACATAATCACACAGAATATAGAGAACATATGTTATAGTTACGTTCTCTATTTGAATCCAACAACAACTGACGGTGAGGTGGAAACTATCATGCTATGTTTAGGTGTTGTAGTGGAATTGTACTATCTACTATATGACTAGCACATTCCACTTTCACACTTGACTGGTCTATTTACAATGCTCTACACCTGCGTGGGACAGCTATTGCATGTTTTCCACTTCAGTGGACATGGTTATTAAACTCATTACTAGTACCACATTCTATAATTACACTTCAGTGGCACAATATATACAAAGCTACAACTAGCATGTTCAACCTACACTCATACACCTACCAATATCTAATTCACCCAATAAAAAAAAACATATACACCTACCACTACCAAACTAATACACCACCACTACCAAACTAATACACCCACCACTACCAAACTAATACACCACCACTACCAAACTAATACACCACCACTACCAAACTAATACACCACCACTACCAAACTAATACACCACCACTACCAAACTAATACACCACCACTACCAAACTAATACACCTACCACTACCAAACTAATACACCCACCACTACCAAACTAATACACTACCACTACCAAACTAATACACCACCACTACCAAACTAATACACCTACCGCTACCAACCTAATATACCTACCACTACCAAACTAATACACCACCACTACCAAACTAATACACACTACCAAACTAATACACCCACCACTACCAAACTAATACACCACCACTACCAAACTGATACACTACCACTACCACTACCAAACTAATACACCCACCACTACCAAACTAATACACCCACCACTACCAAACTAATACACCCACCACTACCAAACTAATACACCCACCACTACCAAACTAATACACTACCACTACCAAACTAATACACCCACCACTACCAAACTAACACACCACCACTACCAAACTAATACACTACCACTACCAAACTAATACACCACCACTACCAAACTAATACACCCACCACTACCAAACTAATACACCACCACTACCAAACTAATACACTACCACTACCAAACTAATACACCCACCACTACCAAACTAATACACTACCACTACCAAACTAATACACCACCACTACCAAACTAATACACTACCACTACCAAACTAATACACCACCACTACCAAACTAATACACTACCACTACCAAACTAATACACCACCACTACCAAACTAATACACCACCACTACCAAACTAATACACCACCACTACCAAACTAATACACTACCACTACCAAACTAATACACCCACCACTACCAAACTAATACACCTACCACTACCAAACTAATACACCACCACTACCAAACTAATACACCACCACTACCAAACTAATACACCACCACTACCAAACTAATACACCACCACTACCAAACTAATACACCTACCACTACCAAACTAATACACCACCACTACCAAACTAATACACCACCACTACTACCAAACTAATACACCCACCACTACCAAACTAATACACCACCACTACCAAACTAATACACCACCACTACCAAACTAATACACCACCACTACCAAACTAATACACCTACCACTACCAAACTAACACACCACCACTACCAAACTAATACACCACCACTACCAAACTAATACACCACCACTACCAAACTAATACACCACCACTACCAAACTAATACACCACCACTACCAAACTAATACACCACCACTACCAAACTAATACACTACCACTACCAAACTAATACACTACCACTACCAAACTAATACACTACCACTACCACTACCAAACTAATACACTACCACTACCAAACTAATACACTACCACTACCAAACTAATACACCTACCACTACCAAACTAATACACTACCACTACCAAACTAACATACAATTCCACTACAACTACCAAACTAATACACCACCACTAACAAACTAATACACCTACCACTACCAAACTAATACACCACCACTACCAAACTAATACACCACCACTACCAAACTAATACACCCACCACTACCAAACTAATACACCCACCACTACCAAACTAATACACCTACCACTACCAAACTAATACACCACCACTACCAAACTAATACACCACCACTACCAAACTAATACACCAACCACTACCAAACTAATACACCACCACTACCAAACTAATACACCACCACTACCACTACCAAACTAATACACCTACCACTACCAAACTAATACACCACCACTACCAAACTAATACACCACCGCTACCAAACTAATACACTACCACTACCAAACTAATACACCACCACTACCAAACTAATACACCCACCACTACCAAACTAATACACTACCACTACCAAACTAATACACCACCACTACCAAACTAATACACCACCACTACCAAACTAATACACCACCACTACCAAACTAATACACCACCACTACCAAACTAATACACCACCACTACCAAACTAATACACCACCACTACCAAATTAACACACCACCACTACCAAACTAATACACTACCACTACCAAACTAATACACTACCACTACCACTATCAAACTAATACACTACCACTATCAAACTAATACACCACCACTACCAAACTAATACACCCACCACTACCAAACTAATACACCACCACTACCAAACTAATACACCACCACTACCAAACTAATACACCACCACTACCAAACTAATACACCACCACTACCAAACTAATACACCACCACTACCAAACTAATACACCACCACTACCACTACCAAACTAATACACCACCACTACCAAACTAATACACCACCACTACCACTACCAAACTAATACACTACCACTACCAAACTAATACACTACCACTACCAAACTAATACACCACCACTACCAAACTAATACACTACCACTACCAAACTAATACACCACCACTACCAAACTACACTACCACTACCAAACTAATACACCACCACTACCAAACTAATACACTACCACTACCAAACTAATACACCACCACTACCAAACTAATACACCACCACTACCAAACTAATAAACCACCACTACCAAACTAATACACCCACCACTACCAAACTAATACACCACCACTACCAAACTAATACACCACCACTACCAAACTAATACACCCACCACTACCAAACTAATACACCACCACTACCAAACTAATACACCACCACTACCAAACTAATACACTACCACTACCAAACTAATACACCTACCACTACCAAACTAATACACCACCACTACCAAACTAATACACCCACCACTACCAAACTAATACACCACCACTACCAAACTAATACACCTACCACTACCAAACTGATACACTACCACTACCAAACTAATACACCACCACTACCACTACCAAACTAATACACCACCACTACCAAACTAATACACCACCACTACCAAACTAAATACACCACCACTACACCACCACTACCAAACTAATACACCACCACTACCAAACTAATACACCACCACTACCACCACCACCACTACCAAACTAATACACCACCACTACCACTAATACCACCACTACCAAACTAATACACTACCACTACCAAACTAATACACTACCACTACCAAACTAATACACCACCACTACCAAACTAATACACCACCACTACCAAACTAATACACCACCACTACTAAACTAATACACCACCACTACCAAACTAATACACCACCACTACCAAACTAATACACCACCACTACCAAACTAATACACTACCACTACCAAACTAATACACTACCACTACCAAACTAATACACCACCACTACCAAACTAATACACCACCACTACCACACTAATACACCCACCACTACCAAACTAATACACCCACCACTACCAAACTAATACACCACCACTACCAAACTACCAAACTAATACACCACCACTACCAAACTAATACACCCACCACTACACCACCACTACCAAACTAATACACCACCACTACCAAACTAATACACCCACCACTACCAAACTAACTACCAAACTAATACACCACCACTACCAAACTAATACACCACCACTACCAAACTAATACCAACTACTAATACACTAATACCACCACTACCAAACTAATACACCACCACTACCAAACTAATACACCACCACTACCACTACCAACTACTAATACACCACCACCACTACCAAACTAATACACCACCACTACCAAACTAATACACCACCACTACCAAACTAATACACCACCACTACCAAACTAATACACCCACCACTACCAAACTAATACACCACCACTACCAAACTAATACACCACCACTACCAAACTAATACACCCACCACTACCAAACTACACCACCACTACCAAACTAATACACTACCACTACCAAACTAATACACCACCACTACCAAACTAATACACCACCACTACCAAACTAATACACCCACCACTACCAAACTAATACACCCACCACAACCAAACTAATACACCACCCACTACCAAACTAATACACCACCACTACCAAACTAATACACCTACCACTACCAAACTAATACACCACCACTACCAAACTAATACACCTACCACTACCAAACTAATACACCACCACTACAAAACTAATACACCTACCACTACCAAACTAATACACCACCACTACCAAACTAATACACCACCACTACCAAACTAATACACCACCACTACCACACTAATACACCCACCACTACCAAACTAATACACCACCACTACCAAACTAATACACCCACCACTACCAAACTAATACACCACCACTACCAAACTAATACACCACCACTACCAAACTAATACACCACCACTACCAAACTAATACACCACCACTACCAAACTAATACACCCACCACTACCAAACTAATACACCACCACTACCAAACTAATACACCACCACTACCAAACTAATACACCCACCACTACCAAACTAATACACCACCACTACTAATACACCACCACTACCAAACTAATACACCACCACTACCAAACTAATACACCCACCACTACCAAACTAATACACCCCCCACTACCAAACTAATACACCCCCACTACCAAACAATACACTACCACTACCAAACTAATACACCACCACTACCAAACTAATACACCCACCACTACCAAACTAATACACCACCACTACCAAACTAATACACCACCACTACCAAACTAATACACCACCACTACCAAACTAATACACCACCACTACCAAACTAATACACCTACCACTACCAAACTAATACACCACCACTACCAAACTACACCACCACTACCAAACTAATACACCACCACTACCAAACTAATACACTACCACTACCAAACTAATACACCACCACTACCAAACTAATACACCTACCACTACCAAACTAATACACCTACCACTACCAAACTAACACACCACCACTATCAAACTAACACACCACCACTACCAAACTAATACACCTACCACTACCAAAGTAATACACCACCACTACCAAACTAATACACCCACCACTACCAAACTAATACACCACCACTACCAAACTAATACCAATCTAATACACTACACCACCACTACCAAACTAATACACTACCACTACCACTACCACCACTACCAAACTAATACACTACCACTACCAAACTAATACACTACCACTACCAAACTAATACACCCACTAATACACTACCAAACTAATACACCACCACTACCAAACTAATACACTACCACTACCAAACTAATACACCACCACTACCAAACCTACACCACCACTACCAAACTAATACACCACCACTACCAAACTAATACACCCACCACTACCAAACTAATACACCCACCACTACCAAACTAATACACCACCACTACCAAACTAATACACCACCACTACCAAACTAATACACTACCACTACCAAACTAATACACCACCACTACCAAACTAATACACCACCACTACCAAACTAATACACCACCACTACCAAACTAATACACCCACCACTACCAAACTAATACACCACCACTACCAAACTAATACACCACCACTACCAAACTAATACACCACCACTACCAAACTAATACACCCACCACTACCAAACTAATACACCACCACTACCAAACTAATACACCACTACCAAACTAATACACCACCACTACCAAACTAATACACCACCACTACCAAACTAATACACCACCACTACCAAACTAATACACCACCACAACCAAACTAATACACCCATCACTACCAAACTAATACACCACCACTACCACTACCAAACTAATACACCTACCACTACCAAACTAATACACCACCACTACCAAACTAATACACCACCACTACCAAACTAATACACCACCACTACCAAACTAATACACCACCACTACCAAACTAATACACCACCACTACTAAACTGATACACCTACCACTACCAAACTAATACACCTACCACTACCAAACTAATACACCACCACTTACAAACTAATACACCACCACTACCAAACTAATACACCACCACTACCAAACTAATACACCACCACTACCAAACTAATACACCACCACTACCAAACTAATACACCCACCACTACCAAACTAATACACCACCACTACCAAACTAATACACCACCACTACCAAACTAATACACCACCACTACCAAACTAATACACCACCACTACCAAACTAATACACCACCACTACCAAACTAATACACCACCACTACCAAACTAATACACCACCACTACCAAACTAATACACCACCACTACCAAACTAATACACCACCACTACCAAACTAATACACTACCACTACCAAACTAATACACCACCACTACCAAACTAATACACCACCACTACCAAACTAATACACCTACCACTACCAAACTAATACACCACCACTACCAAACTAATACACTACCACTACCAAACTAATACACCCACCACTACCAAACTAATACACCACCACTACCAAACTAATACACCACCACTACCACACTAATACACCACCACTACCACTACCAAACTAATACACCACCACTACCAAACTAATACACCACCGCTACCACACTAATACCCAAAATATTAAACTTCACCAATGTATTCAACACACGCAATTCATTTCAACTATGTAGGACATACAATTTTTTAGATGTATATTGAAGAAATTTCAACGTTAAAACATCAAACATTTGCTGGCCAGGTATAAAAAGTTTCTATATAAATTAGAATTCTTGAGGTGTGGAAATGTTTTTAGCATCAAAGAAATCAATATGGAGATATCCATATATTCTGATGTACAGTTATAGTGATAATGATCTATAGATTTCATAAAAGTATTAAAAGTGAGACCACCAACATTTCAAAAGACAGCACAAAAATTCAAAAATTACCATTTTTTACAGCATATTCTGTAATGTTTGTTCATCAGAATAAAAAGTGAGATGACATTTTGTTTGATAAACCTGTCAATCCTCCTGCAGTTTTGTATGATAAGGAAGCCTATTTCATTTAATGGCTGTCATATTGATTTATAACATAAATAGTGATGGTTGTTATCTATGTACTCCCCTATGATAGAAAATGAAAAAGAATCCTGGTGGGAGAGATTATTGACCCAACATTGTAACAACCTTCCTATGACGCCTGTTCTAAACAAACAGTAAGCACTTTTCTATGCAATGAAATTCTGAAATAACCACTGAAAAATAAAGATGACCTGGTCGTGCATTGTGACAGATCTGAAACATAGAACTGCACTTGTTGGTACGAGATCAAGGTTAGTCATTGTTCTCGGCTACTTAAGCTTTATACTCTGAAAAATCATTAAAAATAGTTTTATAAGGACTGAGTTTTTAAAAACAATATTTCATCAATAATGAAATATCAACTTTTTTGAAATGTCTTTATTACTGAAGACAAAGGAATGGAATAAATCATATACATATAATGATGTCATCACATCAATATACTTACCCTCGTAAAAGTCATAGGTACACATGGTTTTACCAAGGACTGCGTTAATACCCGTCTCATTGGCGACTGCCAGTAGTTTATTGTTAAGTTCCCGATCCAGTAGAGCAGGATGTTGAATAATCATCCCCAGTGTGGCCTTGTGGAGATAGAAAGTCAAGTACTAAAACACTTGTAATGAAAATTTTATGATTTTGGGACCTCCCAGACTAATTATGAAAACTTTAAAATATTTATTCAGATTTCTGAAGGCTATTGTCCTGTCGCATTCAGCCCATTGTAAATCTTTGAATCTGTCCTCCACTGCCTTCAATATGTCTTACATCCATTGATCTGTCCTACACTATCAATCTGTCCTACACCATCAATCTGTTCTACACTATCAATCTGTCCTAAACTATCAATCTGTCCTACACTATCAATCTGTCCTACACCATCAATATGTCCTACACCCTCTGATCTGTCCTACACTATCAATCTGTCCTACACTATCAATCTGTTCTACACTATCAATCTGTCCTAAACTATCAATCTGTCCTACACTAGCAATCAGTCTTAAAACTGCAATCTGTCCTACACCCTCTATTTTTTTCTAAACATTCAGATCTTTCCTACACCCTCTGATCAGTCCTTCACTCCTCCAATCTCTCTTACACCCTCTAATCTGTTCTTCATCCTTCAATCTGTTCTACATCCCTCCAATATGTCCTACAGAAATTGACCTTTCATCTTCAATCTGTCCTCCATTTTTCCAATCTGTCATCCAACTCCAAGTCTGTCCTACATCATAAACCTGTCCTATAATTTCAGACCTGTCCTACATCCTTTGATCCATCCTACAATTTTAGACATGACCTACACCCTCTAAACTGTCCTTCAACTTCAAACAGTTTCAGATCTGTCCTACATGTTCAGACCTGTCCTACAACTTTAGACCTGTCCTTAAGTTTCAGACCTGTCTTCCACTGTCCGACCTGTCTTACATCTTTGAATCTGTCCTACAACTTCCGATCTATTTTGCTCTCTCATATCTACCCAATATTTTTGGATATATAATTTAATAAGTAAAAAAAACGCATAACCGCTTTCAATCAGTATTTGATAAAGGTTCAGATAAATTGTATTACCACTTCCATATATGGGCGTAAGATGCCATCCACAGCTGCCTCAGATATCACTACTGTCCCTGGCTCCAGGCCTATAGGACAAAAAAAATATTGTTGTTATTATCCCTTTAATTGAAACAGCCTAAACAATTAGATTAGGAATGTTCCTTCTCAAGTTTGCTTAAAATCCCATTATAGATACCAAAAGAGAGGAATACATTTAGAGTTTAGTAATTATTTCCCATTTACACCCCAGCATTGTGTTCTCAGCTAGGTCCCCAGCTTTCATTTTTGCTTTGGTCAATGCCCAGTGAGGTGAATACTTTCACTGTACTTCAAAGGGAAAATTGATGGATGGAGGAAACACGCAGCATCAGCTCCCTAGTCTAATGAGGCTAGCTGAGAATAAATCATTATCACATTCATCAATCTGGTGACAATGTCATTGATATCTAACCAGGCATTGTTCTCTTGCTTTGTTAAAACTTTGTCACAAACAAAGGTAACTATGACAAACGTACAAAGATCGTACAAAATATACATAGCTGAATAGCACCTTTCAATACGGATTTAAAGTTAGATACAGTAGAATGAAATAATGAATTAAACTGCATCATAAACCTGTTTGATGCTTCTGTCACTCATCAGTGTTACTAAACGTCTCTATTACTGAAACCTACGGAGGAATATTAAACAGGTGAAAAGTAATCTAAAAACCCAGATGGGCATTGATATATTCTTATATAAAATAATAATAAATGGAAAATATTACCTCAACCTCATGGACATGTTATTACACATAGTATGGTATTTATTACATAGATATATTACATAATAGTTATGAAATATTACCTCAACCTCTACTAGTATTATAACATGTAGTATAATATTTATTAAATTGATGAACAATATGCAAGATCTGTAATATTTCTGTTAGTTAAATTTCATGTAGTATCATATTTATCATACTGATGTATTACATGTATTACATGACAGATGTGTAGTATTACATGAGAGATCAGTAGTATTACATGACAGATCTGTAGTATTACATGAGAGATCTGCAGTATTACATGAGAGATTTGTAGTATTGCATGAGAGATCAGTAGTATTACATGAGAGATCTGTAGTATTTTGGACAGATCTATAGTATTATGTGACAGATCTGTACTATTTTGGACAGATCTATAGTATTATGTGACAGATCTGTAGTATTACATGACAGATCTATAGTATTATGTGACAGATCTGTAGTATTACATGACAGATCTGTAGTATTACGTGACATATCTGTAGTATTACATGACAGATCTGTAGTATTACATGACAGATCTATAGTATTATGTGACAGATCTGTAGTATTACGTGACAGATCTATAGTATTACGTGACAGATTTGCAGTATTATGTTACAGATCTGTAGTATTACATGACAGATCTGTAATATTACATGACAGATCTGTAATATTACATGACAGATCTGTAGTATTACGTGACAGATCTATAGTATTACGTGACAGATCTATAGTATTACGTGACAGATTTGCAGTATTATGTTACAGATCTGTAGTATTACATGACAGATCTGTAATATTACATGACAGATCTGTAATATTACATGACAGATCTGTAGTATTACGTGACAGATCTATAGTATTACGTGACAGATTTGCAGTATTATGTTACAGATCTGTAGTATTACATGACAGATCTATAGTATTATATGACAGATCTGTAGTATTACATGACAGATCTGTAATATTACATGACAGATCTGTAGTATTACCTAGACCTCCGCTAGTGCCAATCCTGAAGAAGGTAACATCACTGGGAGAACAGCCAGCATGGTGAAGCAGCTTTAATATCTCATGAATGAGGATGGACAATGAAGGGATACCCATACCATGCTGAAAACAGATGGGGTAAAGAATAAAGGAATACCATACAAGAGAAAGATTTTTTAATTTGAAGCCAGCTCCATAAACAGTGTAAAGAGCTGTGGAAACATGACATCTTAAGCTGATTTGCTTTGAGTACTAAGGTTTCCTTCCATATTCTAACTCAGCACTTTCACCTGGGCCAAACAGATTGATTGATATAAGATTTGGTTAAATCTTGTTTCTAGTTAAAAAAAATGAATCTGATATATTGTGACACCCATTGAATGTAAGGCCATAAGTGAAAATAAGTTACAATTAGTTTTTTGATAGTTATTGTTTTACACGATTCGTTGGTGATTAGTTCATTGTTTGGGTTCTTCGATTATTTCGTCATTACTGAATACATTTTGATGATTTTCATTGTCCTATTACAGACGATATTTGAATGATCTAAATCAGAGGCGTATGAGCCCACCTCTGACTTCAGTTGCTGCTCTTACTCGCCTTAACATTGACTCTATCATGGTGTTTCTTTGAGGGATATTATTTCATTCCTGAATAAGGGCTGCGTGAGTTGAGCGATGATATGTGGGATGCTCCCTAACCTTCCTGTCCAGCTTGTGCCCAGACCCTCCCCCGAATCACTTTCCATTATGCAAGCATCAGAATATTGCTCACCATAACATCGATAGACACATTGTTGTTCATCTGACCTGTAAAGCGTCTTCACTCAATCCCATCTAATCTCTACAATCACTTGGAAAGGAGATGTTGTGTAGCTAAACTGTACTGATCCAATGTTCAATTTGTAATGATTTACCAGAGTTTTCACAGTGTAAGAAAGTAGCTCAGTGTCAAATTTAATTAAATTTCGTCCACATGTCTAAAAGGTCCATTACAAAAACCAAACTTGCGTTTCTTTTTTCCACTAGTATATGTTCAGCCAATTACCAACTCCTACATGCATACATGTATATCTTTGATTTCAGTTGAAGTAGGAAAATAACAGCTATTTAGAAAAAAGTTTACTGAATAACACTTATTTCAGTAAACATTCACTTAACTTGGAGAAACTGAATGAAATCTGTTCATTATTTCTCACTAATAAAATTCTCATTTTCACTATAATGGAAGCCACATCCCTTATGCATGAAAAACCATTTGTTCTACAGATAAAAAGGAAAGCTTTCATAGGATAAACCTATCAATATTTAATTATTAATAACCTGTCCAGGTAATAAGTAATCCACAGGCTGTATTATCACACATTTAACTGAAATTTCCTGGAATATTTTAAACTTAATATATCCATATCCACCCGACATTCCTCCTGTTTGCTATTAGAGGTCTGTGTTATGGTAAAATGACAAATTTTGATATGATTTCTATTTTTTTCTAATCAAATATTTTTCTGTTGAACTCCACAGAATTACAATCCTTTTTCTTTCCTAATTTATATAAAATATTCATTAATTTTGCAAAAAGATTTTTAATTGTCTGGTGATTTTTAACCAAAAAAAAGATCTCAATTGTATTTAATTTTGAAATCAATTTAAATATAAATTTGATTTTTTAATTTATATTGTTTTACCCTAATGTCAAAAATTCAAATTTTCAAATAAATCTGTTGACTATCTACCTTAATTTTAATTTAAGGTAACTGTTGATATGACCTTAGGTCAGTATTGATTCATAGAAAGTTTTGAAACATCAGCAGTTTGCTAAGCCTGCCACCAGAGAGCTTCAGTCATTGATTGCTTTTGTCATCCTCGTAGTCAAGGGAGATATAATGTTTGTTTCCTGAAACATTTCCTGAGGCAGATTTGAACTTATATGAAACATTTCGTGAAGGAGGTATGAACATTAGTTTCTGAAATATTTCTTGAGAGAAATAAGTATGTTTACTTCCTTATTAGAAATAAATATAAGAAACAAACCTCCACAGTGATATTCCACTTCTGTGATAGTATAATTTTGAATAACAAATTAAATATTGAAAATATACAAGTCATCAGACTTGTACAATTTCCCAAAGATATGGCTAAGTATTTTGTCTTTCAATCACATTTCAAACAATGTGCATATAGGTTATGGTGTCATATAAAATTCTACCATGAAAATTTATCTGGTTTCAATACAGAGGAGGAAAGAGTGAGAGACAGACAGACAGAGAGAGACAGATAGACAGACAGACAGATGGAAGGAGAGAGACACAGAGAAAGACAGAGACAGAGCTGAAGCTTGTGAGAAATGTTGGTTTTATGTACAGATCCATATATCAGATTGATGTGACTAATGGCTTACTGTATATATAAAGGACTCTACCAATATTTGTTTACACTTTAACTTAATGGGGAGCGTCCAGCTTCCTCAGTGCCTCTGCCAATAGCTTTGACATTAAACATTATCACAGGAATGACAAAACAGTACAGATATCAAACAAAATGTATTACGTCAAATGGTTTCATCTCTCCGCCCCTTCATATCAATAGGATGTTAGATTTATATGTTACTACTCTGAAATTTAGACTGGAGAGAAAAAAATCAATGATTTTATCAACCATGTTTTATTCAAGAACATTCTGATACGGTGTCTGTAGCCTGACGGTTAATTCTCTCTCTACTCAATATCAACGATTAAAAAGTTTTCCATTTTGTGCTTATGTTGGTTCATATGGATTCGGTCATCTACATTTTCATTACAATGACTCTGATATCTGCTACCATGGTAGGGACACACTCAAACCTGTCTATAAAGGCCAGGCAAAGGAACAGAGACTTTCATATGGAGATTTAATAACAGTGAAATATATTAGAATCTACCAGCAGTCTTTATAAACAGTTAATTCTAACAAACAGGTCACATTTGTTATGTATCTTCTAAAGGAGACCTTCATACACAGGTATATGTTATATATAATCAACTAACAAATTCATAGTAGGAGATGGTCTTATCACAGCTAATTAAATAACTAACTTCTATAAAGGGATGAGCTTACTACAGGACAATTGAATCACAAATACACAGTTGATGGTAGGCTTTTCTTAGAGGACAATTATATGACAAACTCAGTAGAGGGAGGGCTTATCACAGGGAAATTAAATGACAAACCAAGGGTAGGGGTGGGCTTATCACAGGGAAATTTTAATAACAAACTCGGGGTAGGGGGTGGGCTTATCACAGGGAAATTTTAACGACAAACTCGGGGTAGGGGGTGGGCTTATCACAGGGAAATTAAATGGCAAACCAAGGGTAGGGGGTGGGCTTATCACAGGGAAATTCTAACGACAAACTCGGGGTAGGGGGTGGACTTATCACAGGGAAATTAAATGACAAACCAAGGGTAGGGGGTGGGCTTATCACAGGGAAATTTTAACGACAAACTCGGGGTAGGGGGTGGGCTTATCACAGGGAAATTAAATGACAAACCAAGGGTAGGGGGTGGGCTTATCACAGGGAAATTTTAATGACAAGGTCAGTGTAGGGGTGGGCTTATCACAAGGAAATTTTAATGACAAGGTCAGTGTAGGGGTGGGCTTATCAGACACAGTATCTAGTGTGTCTATGATTGCAATATATATATCTTGAAATATTAATTGCCTGATATGTGTACCTAAATGTTTTCAGGTATTTTTTGAAGTTGAACTTTATTGAACAGGATATATATTAGCTAAAGTACATCAAACACATTCATCATATAAACAATTTTCTACTTCAGTTGCTTCCCAATTGTTTCTCTCTAAATAAATTACAACACAAAAAAACCCACAAAAAACTGAAAATCAATATATTATCTGAACCATGCAATAATTAACTTGATAAAATGTAGAATGACAAAATATACTGCAATCATGGTTAAAGGTTCAGGTTAAATTCTGAAGTTGATTTTCTCATACCAGGTATACTAAAGTTGATGAAAAAAAACTACAAGAGGGCCAATGGGCCTGGTGTTTTTCAGGAATTGATGTGGATGATAAAGGACAATTTAATATTATGATCAAATAAAGTTATTTTAATGCCTCAACAAATACAGCCTGTGAGTATTTTTGAAATTTGCTGACCACCTTTTTTGGAAATATTGCTGGGCTTCATACCAGGTAGCTACCAGCCAAATATGATGACTTTTATCTTTTGTGTTATTGAAAAGAAGTTTTTTTAATGAAAAAACAGATGATAGACACCACATTTTGTCATAAAGCTCACTTTGCTCTTTGGGCCAGCAACATTAGAATAAGATCAATGATTTAAGCAATTACACGCCAACATATTACAGGCCAAACATTGATCATCAAAACCGACTTTCACAGGTTTCAAGATTTCACAAATCTAATCTCATTTAAGGCTACCAACATTTTAATATATTTAATATCTTTCACCCCAGTAAGCTGTGTGGGTCATCGGTTATGTGCAGATCTTAAGGAAATGGTCTTTAAAACTTAGACAAATGACTTTGAAAGTGGATTAAGATATTTCTTCTATGTGGACACCTGCCACATGTATGGGTCAATCATAGGCATTGATTTTTGTTCCTTGGCTTATTAAGTTACTGCAAAGTCATTGATTAGTTTTACACTGACCGGTCCAATCTTAGCTCGGCCAATTATATTCTGTACTCAGGCACAATCTGATGTTGTTTTTGTTTCGGTTCATTAAAACACCACAAACACTCTATAAAGATAACACTATCATTATGATAATATATATCTTCTGAACATATACACGTAAAAACAACCCATCCTTCCCCCAAATCAGGCCAAAACATTCAACAGTAGTCAATATTACACATGGAGGCAGAAGATAAACTGTTATAAATCTTTGTAGAGGAAGAATTGATTGCCAGAATTTTAATCCAAACAATAAACACAGTCCCTGTGGTGATCATACTAATATTACAATGGTACTCACACTGACGGAAATAACCGGACCAACTTTGTACAGGACGTAGCGGTCAGACCCTCCAGCCACATTACACAGCGTCTGTCCAGCAGTCATTTTGTATTTTAGTTCATCCACCAGTTGAAATGCAAATTTCTGCATTCGGTTTGGTGATCCTCCAAAACACACAAACTGAAAAAAAAGGAAAGCATTCCTTCAGGGACGTCAACGAGATAAGAGTTTGAATAGAGAAACCAGATGAATACTGATGGTCAGTTAATTGAAATTCCAAATCACACCAACAAACTTAAGACAGCAATACTGAAAGTGGAAAGTTTAATGAAAGTCACTGCATTTCTTTGAGAACTGTTACTTGGACAACATTGCTGCGGATGCCACTGATGCCACCACTGATGGCACAAAGTGATTGCTGTCCGCTAACAAACATCTACATGTATCTTGGTTATGATACAAGAATGATAAAGCTAGACCTTACAATGTACTAGTCATCTACACAAAGGGCAATAACTCTGAAAACAACTGTGTATCAGTACACACAATAGCAGTGAAAATGACACTTCATGCTGGTCAGGTTGTGTACAGCTTACTGTACTGAAGGTCATTTGGTAATGCTAAATTATACCTTTACATCAGAAAACATCTCTTTCAAGTCATGTGACCTATTCCCAAGGGCGATATGGTACAAGACGTCTTCTTCCATGCAAGCCAAATTAGAGTTCCTAACAAAAGCAGGCTCCCTGTAAAAGATAGACAATAAATTAAATTACACCTGTTGTCAAGTTTCAATAATGGAGATTTTTGAAGCTAAACCTGTGTGACAGACAGACAGATAATGAACTAATGACCAGACAGAGGACATCCAAATTTACCTTCTTTAGCTTGATCTGAATAATGAAATTACAGAATCAAGACAAAATTCAACAATCGAAAATGAAAATATTTTGACAAATTATTTGCAGATATTTTTAAAGGACAATGCAATAAACATTCATTTTAATCAATATGAAGTTTTTGAAGGTCAGCCTAAACTTTTGGCAAAAGATAAATCCAAATTCCTGAACTTCTTTGTCATTTGTGAAATCTGTGACAGAGAGAGTGTGACTCCCTGGACATGTTTTATATTCAAATCTACTACTATAAATGCTTTAAAAATCTATATGACAATTGGTGTTTTCATTTCAAGTTTATCACAGTCTCCTGCTATACCAAACAGGAAGAGAAATACCAAAACAACATGGACCCAATGACATCTATCACTTATAAACCCTTTTATTCCCTGGCTATGTTGAGATATGTGTATGAATCCTATTTTCAGCAGTAATGAAGACCATCACCCAGTTAGGCTATTATATAAGTTAGTTATATCAATCACTTGAAAATTTAGAAATGTGAAAAGATACTGTAAGCCTGACTCCATTAATCCACAAATGTTTTTATTTGATTACTATTTAGGATTAAATCTGTGATATTGTTAATTGCTTCCTTATTCATGGTACTCAAGCTGGTAGTAACACATGGTTCTACTTTTATCACAAAATATTTTACAAAATAATTAATACATGTTAACTATGTATTTCTAGATCAAATAATTCTATGATATTTTAAAAAAAACCTTTTGTCAAATTCTGAATATTGATAAATGATGTATAAACATTATTACAAATTATAATAAGATATTTCCTGGATTGATTCTCTGTATTTGGTCGAGAGTAAACAGGATTAAAGTTTACCTGGATAGTAGGTAACCTCCTGATTAATCATAATAACAAAACAAAAGGTCAGCATCTCTGTCAGGTTCGACTTTCGGTTGTTATAAACGCTGGTAACTATTTATTGAACACAATCCAACCCTATCTACACACCCGATATGGTTTTAGTGAATATTTGAACTGTTAAGAGAAAAAGTAAAGAGATGGTTATTGACGATAGAATCATCCAACCCTTGTTAGTACAGAGCAGCAAGGCGTTGCTAATTATTGATGTTTGAGTAGGACCTCGTTTCATAGCTATTGGCTCCAAGTGTATGTGGTACAGGATACTTGCTACGGTAAGCTGTATATTCTTTTTCACAAAAGATCACAAGGATGATTTTACCCAATTCAAGCATCAACTCATGCATACCGTATTAGGCTTGGAGTTATACAAGTAGAACAAGTATATGTGAGACTACACAGTTGAAGAAGCAGTCATTCAGCTTTTGACTTACCAGACAATAGCTGTGTCATGTTGTGAATCACTAGAACAAACACCACAGCATATTATCTACAACACAGGATCAAAAACTTGTTCTAGATTCTAACCATGACCAAGAATATTCAATGCAAAAATTAATAATGGATCTATGATAAATGCCTTCAATCGAAAAACAGCGTCATTCAGTACCTTCTCTAGAAGTTTTATGGCGTCCATTCATGGCTGCCAGGACATAAAAACATGTCAGGGAATGGTTGTCGTCACCCTGTGCGGTCACAGTGCCTTAAATCTGACTTATTAATGAGCTTTTCCATCTTCGTGAGAGAAAATATGGAGGATACCTTTATGAACGCATAAAAATGGCCCAGGAACCTGTTTTATCTCGTCACACAAAAACATCAAAGGAGGACATTAACTGGTAGATAAAGGATGGGACATACAATCGCCGTGGCAACAAGGAGCAAATCTGATCACAACAGCGCTCTTGTCATATTCCCTGTTAAATGAAATCCACTGGACTGTGTAGAACCTCATGAAAATGTTCTGACTTGTTGTCGCTTAAAATAGAAAATTGATAGGAAATTTCTACACTATTCTCCAACACAAGATATCTACTTCATAATTCTGTAACGGATTTCGATTGGCCAGTTTAATAGCTGAAAGGAAACTCATGGAAAGCATCTTTATATAAATAGCCTACAGACTGGTGTTATTTATAAGGAGACTCTGATGCTGCATCACAACCATGTCAACATCAAAAGTATCGCCAGAGATAAAAATAACAGAAATATCAGATGATGAAGCTGAGAATGTAGACACTATAAACATCTTAGAAGGTACCAGTTCTCTTCACTCTGCAATCATCAATGATGACCTTGAGGAGGTCATCTATCTTATCAACAATGGAGGCGATATACACGAAAAAGTTAAAGGTAATTTCTCTGTCAATGGCGTTCAAAAAAGTAAAACGAATGAAGTCAACTATGCCCAGATGGATTACTATGGAGAATATCCACTGGCATTCGCCACGTTTTATGCCAATGAAGAAATCTATGACTTCTTGATAAACAGTGGCGCTGATCCAGATCTCCAGGATTCATATGGAAACACTGTCCTTCATGTTGCAGTTGTTGCAGATCAAATAGAAATGTTTAAGTATTGTGTACGACATCCAAAAAAACCTGCAAACACTGTTTCAACAAACAAGGCAAATCTGACACCCCTTGCTCTAGCATGCAAACTTGGACGTCATACCTTGTTTAAAGTGATGTTGGAGATGGGTAGTTTGGAGTTCTGGAGATACAGCAATATTGCATGTTCTGCATATCCTCTGCTGGCTCTTGATTCTATTGGCCCTTGTGGTAACACAAACATATATTCAGCACTCATCCTCATAATAAACGGTGAGACAGATGACCATCTGGAATTGCTCGAGGGTGGAGTGATGAGACAACTCCTTGATGAAAAATGGGAGCGCTACGCCAAAAAATGGTTCTTCCAGCGGCTTATAATGGCATTTGTTCATCTTATTCTAATAAGTGTTGCGATATACACACGTCCTGCAGAAGGGTTACTGCAAATACGAAGTGTTACAGATATTGTTAGGTTTGTCAGTGAAATTCTAGTATGTATAGGCTGTGTTCTGATTCTAATCATTGATATTGGAGAAGTTGCTTCACAAGGATTTTGGGCATTTTTGAAGAACACTCGTCATGCTCCAGCACAAACTACATTTCTAATATCTTGTCTTCTCATCATGTTGTGTATCCCTCTACGATTTACTGGGTATGAAACAGCGGAGAGTGTACTTCTGATTATTGCGGTGCCAGGTTCTTGGTTTTACCTGCTGTTTTTTGCCAAAGGCTACCCTCTAACTGGGCCAATGATTGTTATGACGTACCAGATGCTTGCTACCGACATGGTTAAATTTGGAAGCATGTACGGAATTTTCCTTTTGCTTTTCTCCCAAGCATTTTACTTCCTGTTTCAGGGATCAGAGGACATTAGTGCTGCAAACAATATATGGGAGACTTCTATGACACTCTTCCAGATGACCCTTGGTGAGTTTAAGTACGATGAATTTGAGAGAACAAGATACCCTCCGTTGATTAAAATAGTTTTTGTGTTCTTTATGATCTTTGTACCAATCCTTCTACTCAACATGCTCATCGCCATGATGGGAAACACCTACCAACAAGTGGTTTCTAAGTCCGCAAAGGAGTGGCGACGACAGTGGGCCAAAATTGTAGTTGTTTTAGAAAAAGGATTTACAAAGAAAAACCTGTTAAAATTCCAAATGGAATATTCTGTGAAAATTTCTGGTGAACCACGTGTTGTTTTAGCAAATCTTTCCAAAAAAGACAGTACCATTGAACAGAGGGCACTAGTTGTCATCAAACAACATAATCGAACAGTTGCTAGAAAACGAAAAGCAGCCATTACATTCTGGAGACGAGCAAATAAGCTAATCGTTGACCAAATTAGGCAGCAAAAGAAAAGTGGTGTTTCAGGACAACTTAGTGTGAAACCATCTATCTCACGTAAAGTGTCCATGCTCTCTGACGATGAAGACAAAGGATTCGCCAACATGCTAGAAAGGCTTGCATGGGAGAAAGATATTGACCTCACCAAGGGTAAGGCTTTCATGGCAAACCCAGACGCTATTGAAGGAATCAACACCCACAGATAAATTGACAGAAAACAAAAAGTCCTGATGCAATAGCTCTATATATTTGATGAAATTAAGAAAATCAAGGTGTGCAATCTTATTTGAATAAAACTAAATAAGTATGTATTTATAGAGTCAAAAATTTTGATGATAGATTTGTTTAACAACTGTAAATTAACCAATAATTTTGAGGGAAATTTAAACAGAAAAACAAAATTTTATTCTAAAATACCAGCTTCTTTTTTTAATGCAGGTGATATATTGTACATACAGTCAAACCTGTCTATAAAGACCAAAGAGCAAAACAGAAAGGCCTCTATAGACAGATGGCCTTTATACAGAGGTCAATAATTAAATTGCATTTCATTGAGACTCGCAGCTAGTTGTGACCTTTATAGACAGGTATCCATCATATAATAGAGGCTTTTATAGACAGGTATTTGTTACATACCAGTGACCTGTATTAACAGGTATTTGTTGAACTAGTATGTAGATGATCTTTAATGCAGGTAGGTAATGGACTTCATTTCATACTGTTTTTGTGTATGTTTCACTAAGTCTGAACAGCCAATATTTTACAATTTCTGACCTTTATTCTGGTGGTATGGCATGTTTTCATGATAATTCCCATTGAGATAATGATATTACTATATAATGACTCTTCAGGCTTCTGTTTAAAAATTGTAGCAGTGGTTAATGGATTGTTATATTTACAAGCAAGTCACCCAACTTGCTTTGGACTATTAACCTCATGTGTATAGATTCTGCATGTTAAATTTTGCAATTTACATAGATCTATAGCACGTATTTTGACCAATCAGCATGAAGGAAAATGACAGTTATATAATAAACTTGAATAATTACCTGTGTGTCTCATTTCGGTTAATAATTGTATGCTTCTCTGGGCCCTTAGAAAATACCTGTATTTTCCTGTGTACCTTATACAGTAACCACCTGTATGTTTCTCTGTGTACCTTACACAGTAAATACCTGTATGTTTCTCTGTGTACCTTACACAGTAAATACCTGTATGTTTCTCTGTGTACCTTACACAGTAAATACCTGTATGTTTCTCTGTGTACCTTATACAGTAACCACCTGTATGTTTCTCTGTGTACCTTACACAGTAAATACCTGTATGTTTCTCTGTGTACCTTACACAGTAGATACCTGTATGTTTCTCTATACACCTTACACAGTAGATACCTGTATGTTTCTCTGTGTACCTTACACAGTAGATACCTGTATGTTTCTCTGTGTACCTTACACAGTAGATACCTGTATGTTTCTCTGTGTACCTTACACAGTAGCTACCTGTATGTTTCTCTGTGTACCTTACACAGTAGATACCTGTATGTTTCTCTGTGTACCTTACACAGTAGATACCTGTATGTTTCTCTGTGTACCTTACACAGTAGATACCTGTATGTTTCTCTGTGTACCTTACACAGTAAATACCTGTATGTTTCTCTGTGTACCTTACACAGTAAATACCTGTATGTTTCCCTGTATACTTTACACAGCAGATACCTGTATGTTTCTCTGTAAACACTTGTACAGTAAATGATTTATGTTCTCCACAGGAATTATTTTAATTTTTTGTTCACTTGAGTTGAAGAATAACCATAGAAATCAACGGAAATGATGTTTGAATGAAGGCTTAATTACAACTTCATTGTTACCTAAACCTTATTACATCATAAATCGTTTCACTAAAGGAAATTCTACTGCTCATTCAACTGACAGTGATCAATAATTCAGTGGAAACATGCTGAAAACTGGTCTAACTACACCATATCTGTTTGTGGATATTATCATTGATAGTATATATAGGAGCAACACTCTAATGTGTAAATAACCACAGCTTTCTTATATACAACATCTAGAACAACTTTGGTATTTTCTACTTAGTTTTCTGTGATTCTTTTGTGAAATGTTGGTTTAAATATCTGCACAGGATAGCTCTGGTATGTTATAAATGAAGAATAATGTCTTTTAGAAAGAAGAAGTATTAGATCCATGAATGATATATCTTCCTCTTTTTTCTCACCTACATCTATATTTTTATCAGATACCATGTCAGTAATTGTTATTGAAAAGATCAGCCTTACAGATTCAAGTGTAACATATCTGGCATAAAAAAATCAAGAACGATTTTCAGAAGCAAACTGAAATACTCCTGTTTCATATAAGATATTAATATGCAGTGTTAATGTTTGGGCTCTGACCCTTTGTTTAGGCTGATGCTGACCAGTAGAGGTAAATAAATACACATGTTCTGGTGATTTGCTGATCAATAAGTTGTGTAATTATGTAAATGACTGACAATGTATGCTTCTGTATCAATAAAAACATGTCTTACATTAGCATGTCGGTATTCTTTGTTCCTGAATAATATATTCCAATTAAGTCATGCAAGATATGAAGCAGTTTGTTTATTGAATACTAAATGAGTTCAACTTCTGTTTATATGAAGCTAAAGTTTCTTTTTTCGTGTTTTTTTCTCCTTAACAACTAAAATTAAGGATTTCACTCACCTATTCAGCAATTTAATAAAGAATTTCAAATATGATAATAATTTCTTACATTATGTCTCTATTTGGTCCAAGCCTTGTGGTCAAGCAGAAGTCAAATTCTCTATTAACAAAATTTGCTTCAGACCAAACAATATCTTTGCGCAGATTAAGGAATTTGAAGAACTTACATTTCCCAAATGGGGCCCCAAACCTTCCCGCCCCAGAGGAGAAGTATGATTTCAAAGAATTTGCTTAATTTCCTCTAATGGGCCCTGTCCCACCTCCCCCAGGGAGCCAAGACCCACAGTTTTATACAGAATTGATTCCCCTTTCCCCAACAATGCTTCAGACCAAATTTGGGCAAAATCCAATCATTCATACAGAAGGAGTAGATTTTAAAGAAATTGCCCAATTCCCCTGCTGGGCCATGCCTCTCCTGCCCTAGGGGGCCAAGACCCACTGTTACTACAAAATCTATCAGCCCAACCCCTCCTGCCCAAGGGGGCCAAGACCAATGTTAATAAAAAAATTATCAGCTCAACCCCTCCTGCCCCAGGGGGCCAAGACCACTGTTTATACAAAATTTATCAGCCCAACCCTTCCTGCCCCAAGGGGCCAAGACCAATGTTTATACAAAATTGATACCCCTTCCCTCAACACTGCTTCAAACCGAATTTGAGCAAAATCCAATCATTCCTACTGGAGAAGCAGAGTTTAAAAGCATTTGCTCAGTTTCCCCTATAGGACCCCGCCTCTTATTGCCCCAGAGTACCAAGACCTTACTTCTATACAAGACTGATTCCTCTCCACCCAAGAATGCTTCAGATCAAATTTGGGCAATATCCATTCATTACTACAGGAGGAGAGGGATTTTAAAGAAGATAAAGGACCTGGATGCTGGATAACAGAGGACAGACGGATGATGGACGGCATGTCATGGTGTAAGCTCACTGGTCCTTAAGACCAGGTGAGCTAAGAAAAGAAAAAAAAATGTTAAGTTCCAAACATGTCAAAACAAGAATTTTAAAACTAGAGTGGCTTTCTAAAATTCAATCTATATCATCATTATTAAATCTAAAGAGAACATTCATTGCAAAATTAAGGCAATAGCACATTATCTGACTGGAAAAAACTCACAAAGTCATCAACCTGTCTTGATGGAAATAGGACACCACATAACTTTGCAGACAGATGGACAGAGATAGTTAGGGGTAAGTGCCATGGATGAATGTACAGACAGAGCTCTTTTACTGGATGAAACAAAGCCATTATGTTATGATATATCTAATCCAACATATTCTATGTAAAGCAATATAGTTTTGGTGAGTTCCAATGCAATTCCAATGAACTATTTTTCTGATTTGAACAATGTTTAGGAGAGGGATGATATAACTTGATAATGTTTTAACAACTGGCTAGGAGTGATGATTCACAATTCAGTTCGGCTAAAATATCAACGCAGTGTTGGACTAAACAACAGCTATGCTGAAAACTTGAGTTATCACCCTCACATTGAGAACATTCCTTTTAAACCAAATGCTGTGCTACAATTACTGAAGTGTTTACTAATTATTGTCATGATGACATGGAAACAACGGTCTATGTACATGTTAGATGAACTGTGTCAGTAAATCCTATTAAATATGTATATGTGAGTTAAGTGGAACATGTTTAGATGCAAAACTCCCAGTCATGTACATCAATTTTTTAACATTAAACCGTGTTGATAGAGAGGAATCGTTTCCATATGTAGACATTGCAGTAACCTGAGAGATGATGAGTAAAATGCATGACTGATTACTATGCCTTGTGTGACTAAGTAGTAAGCCTATCAGGTGTGTCAGATAAGCCCATATAGGCAAGGCTTATGTTTTCTGGTAACCAAAGGGGAATAACTCTTAAAGGAAGCAACTACCATAAAATGCCATACATCAATTTTGTGATGATAGGGATTACAGACCCATCACAGCTAATGTTGTTAATTTCTGTTAATAAACCAAACTATTCCTGAAATTTAACAAACAGAAACAAAATAAGGAAGAAAAAAAATCAAATAACTTTAAAATTAAATGTTCTCTGAACAACAGTCACTTGTTTTTTTCTCAAAAAGCAACAATCAAATTAAGAGCCTTAAATCACACACTGAAAACTGCTCTGGTGAAAAGTGGTATCCCAAACATTTAAGGACCTGGAATTAAATGTATCAGTACTTTCCCTGAAAACTGCTCTGGTGAAAAGTGGTATCCCAAACATTTAAGGACCTGGAATTAAATGTATCAGTACTTTCCCTGAAAATAACTTAAGTTTTGATCACTCACAAATTAGTTCATTTCTTTAGAGGCAGTGATATCCCCATTAATATCAACTAGTCAGCTTCTGTATTGTTCCAAGGGAGGTAACACTGGAAGACTGTTTCACACCATGAAAAGTTTCCTACAGTAATTCCAGACTACATTTTTCTGTAATAAAACTTTTCATGAGGAAGATGAAACTTGAAGGACTCTT